AGAAAAATACAGTGTTGCTTTCCTGAGACTCTACCTTGGTATAAAGGTGTTTCCATCTGGCATCTTCTTAACCACTTATTATTTCCTGGTTCAGGTTACTGCTACAATGCTGTGGGCTTACTAGTATACCTTATAGTAAAGAGCTTCCTTCTTTGGGACCCAGCAGTATTGATTTTCTTTTGAGACTTCCTTCCTGTCATGAAGACAAATTTCATGGCCTGATGGGCAGGCTTTTCTAACTTTGAAAAGAACCCTGTTAGAAATTTATTCATGTAGTCATTCAAAAATAGTTATTAAATGCCTACTCTGTGCCAAACACAGAGCCCTGGTGGCACAGTGGTTAAGGGCTAAGGTTGCTAAAAGGTTGGCAGTTTGAATCCACCAGTCGCTCCTTGGAAACCCTAGGGGGCAGTTATACTCTGTCCTGTAGGGTGGCTATGAATCGGAATTGACTCGACAGCCACAGGTATGTGCCAAACAGACTTAAATACAGTAGAGCATTAGCCTCTCAAGATTTCCTGTTTGCAGTGAGACTGTATGAGGATGTTTTTGTTAAGATTTTTCGCTGAGGCCAAGAAAAGAATTCATTGGAATGATACTAGGGTATCTCGTGGCATTCAAGGAAGAGTTGGACAGCTGGACTGCACGGAAAGCAGAAGGAAGCAGGGTAGCTTGGGAAAGCATCACTTCAGCAGGACTTGTGGCCCTCCCATCAGAGTGCTGTCATAAGCCACAATTCCCAGGCCCTGGGAGTCTTGAGTTCCAAATTCTAAAGCCTGGGAGAATCTTTCAGTTACCTATTGCTCCATAATAATTCATTCCAAAACTTAGAGACTTAACAGCTTCTCTCTCACAGATTTGTGGCCTGACTCTCCCTTGCGGTCTTCTGTAGTTGTATTCAAACGGTGGTTGGGGGTGGACAGCCACCTGATGGCTCAACTATGCTGTATGTCCAAGATGGCTTCTTCACTCACATGTCTGGCATCTCAGGTGGGATAGCTGGAACAGTCAGAGGCTGGCTCTCCATGTGGTTAGCTTGGACTTCCTCACAGTATGGTGGTCTCAGGGTAGTAAGACTTATTAATTGGCAGCTGGCTTCCCCCTGAGTGAACGCTCCAAAAGACCCACGTGGAAGCTGCAAGGCTTGTTATGACCTTAGGTGTCACTGCTGCCCTATTCTGTTGGTAAAAAATGGATCATAAGGCTAGCCCAAGTTCAAGGGGAAGGGACTACATAAGGGTTTAAAATAATTGTGAAGTGTGGTTCAGTGGAGGCCATCCTTGGATTTTGATGGTTCCCCTGGGTTACTTATATCCCACCTACGGGCAGATCCAGGTTTTATATGGCTTGAAACATACACAATTTGGAGGGCTTACTTGAAGAATGGGAGGGGCTCATGCAATGAAGAGTCTTAAAGCTAAAGTTTCATTAGCTTCACAGTTAATCTGCTCAGAAGATGCCCCCTTTCCAAGTCAGCTCTGGTAAGGGGCAGACATGGCTTTGAGGAGTCTATCCACCTTTGTGTACAAGGGGAGTTTCTGGAAAAGGAGGAATCATAGCTCTCCCCACCCCTCACCAGCAGTACCCAGTGTTCACTATAATCTGATCATTTAACTGACCTCCAAGCAGTGACTTTTCCAATTCACCATATTCCACCCCACTGCCATGGAGTCGTTTCCGACTCATAGCAACCCCATAGAGTTTCCAAGGCTGTAAATCTCTACGGAAGCAGACTGCCACATCTTTCTCCCACAGAGCCACTGGTGGTTTTGAATCGCCAACCTTTCGGTTAGCAGTTGATCACTTTAAACACTGCGACAACAGGGCACCATATTCCACAGGATTTGAAAAAAATATTCAGCAAAAAATGTGGTAGAATTAGAAGGATCCTTTTTTTTAAAATCTGTCTTCTCTATGCCTTTTTCCTCTGGATGCTGCTTAAATGTTCTTAAAGGTTTCTTTTCATTCTATCCATCTCCTCAGATGACCTGTACTTACACCCACCACTATAATCAGATGACTCCTAACTCTCTCTGTGGCCCAGACCCCTCTACTTCCAAAAGTGTACCAGACATCTCCATTTGGATGTGGCCCAGGAACATCAGCATCTGTGTGGTCAAAATTTATCCTCTATTCCTTATTATGATCAGAGGCACCATTCAGTCACTTAAAAAAATATATTTTTTTTAGCATCTACTATGTGCCAGGCACTGGGAATACAGTAGTCAAGGACACAGACAAGGTGCCTGTGCTCCAGACGGACACTAAATGATTACATATTGTGATAATGCTATGACAAAAATACAGGGACGAGATAGTGAGTAAAGTCTCTGGATGGTGTAAACTGTACTCAACTACCAACCTAAAGCTTGGTGGTTCGAACTCACCCAGCGGCACTAGGGAAGAAAGACCTGGTAATCTGCTTCTGTGAAGTTGACAGCCAAGAAAACCCTATGGAGCAGTTCCACTCTGTAACACATGAGGTTGCCATGAGTCAGAACTGACTGATGGCAATGGGTTTATGGGAGATAGAGAGTAACTGCGGGAAGGCCCCTTGTAGGAGAGAGATCAGGGAAGGGCTTTCTGCAAACGTAACATTTGAGCTTTGATTCAAAGGAGGAGAAACCAACCAGGCAGAGACAGGGAAAGAGCATTCTAGGCAGAAGGAACAGCAAGAACCCCAAATAGGGAAAGGCTTAGGGTGTTCAAGGAGCAGCAAAGAGGGCCAGTAGCAATAAGGTTAATGAGAGGGGGAGTGGCATGTGATGAGGTTGGCAAGAAGTAGGAGCCACGCTATTCAGGGCCTTGTAGGCCACGGTAAAAAGCTGAATTTTACTCTACAAGCAACAAGAAGTCACTAAAGGGATTTCAGTTGTGTGTGTGTGTGTATGTGTGATGATCTGATTTACATTTTTAAACAAGCAAACTGGCTGGCGTGTAGCAAATGGATCGTGGAGGGGGAAGAATGCAAGAAGGCAGGCCAGTTGGGAGGTTATTGTACATACAGAGATAGCTTGGATTAAGGCAGTGGCAACAGAGACTGGGGGGGCAGGGAATGAATGGATTCAAGGTTAGTATTGTATAGAACCACAGGACTTGGTGATAGACTGAATTTAGGGAGTAAGAGGAGGAAATCAAGGATAGCTCCTAGGTTTTTTACTTGAGTAACTAGATGGTGTCACCACCACTCACTGTCTTTTCCCTCCTCTTCTAGATCCAGTCTCTAAGACCTGTTGACTCTAACCCCTAAATATTTCTGAGGTGGGTTTCTCCCTCTCTGACATGGCCTTAATTCAGGCTTGTGTTCTTCTCATTTCATTAATTCATAAACTATTTACTATGTATTAGGCACTGTTCCAAATGCTGGCGATACAGTTGTGAATGAAACATACTTTGCCCTCAGGGCATTTATAGTCCAGCTTTTCCCTGCCTCCTTCCAATCCATCTTTATAAATTAATGCCTGTAGATCACTGCTTCTCACATTCTAATGTGCCAAAGAATCATCTTCTGATCTTGTTGAAGGGCAGAGTCTGATTCAACAGGTGTGGGTGGGGCCCGAAATCCTGCATTTCTAGCAAGCTTCCCAGGTGTTGTCTCTGCTGCTGATCTGTGAACACGCTTTGATAATAGTATCAGGGCTGTAGGCTGTCTCTAGAAAAACCATCTATATAAAATGTATTATTTGTCGACTTTCTCTAAAAGGATAACAAGAAACCCAGAATAAGGTTGCCACTGGGAAGGAGAACAGAGTGGCTACTCATTGCACGTATATATTTTTATAAAAAAACTTGAATGTTGTAATCAAGTAAGTGTATTAAGTCTTTGAAAATAAAGCCAGTTAATAAAACAAAAACAAAATATCCAAACTGCTCGCCTCTTACACAACCCTACGGAGAAGCTCCGTGCCCCAAGGGACAGAGTGCAGTTGCTAAGCTTACCTTAAGCGCCTGTATGATGTTTACGTTTCAGCCTTATCTCCGACTCTGCCACACTCAACTGATCCCTGTGGTCAGGGACAATATGCACGGTTCTCTACACTGAAAATGGACTTAAGCAAATTTCACTTGGTGTTTCAAACTCCAGCTTAGGCAGCGCCTACCTCTGGAAGATGTTTCTGCACCCTCCAGGCCCCGCCGTCCTTAATGTTACCTTTTAACGTTTAACCTCATAATGCTTCTTCTGCAGTCATCACACCGTGTCGAAATTTGTTTACATGCCTATCCTTGCTACTTGATTGCGTGCTCCTTGAGAAAGCCAGAGCTTATGTCTATCTAGCACAGAGTGAGGAGCTCCGAAATTTGTTCTGCGCAAGAAAGAATCGATGTACTGGCTTCAGGGGCTCAGGGGAAGGGCACATCCGCCAGGGTGGGGGCTCTCTTTCCTACTTTGTGACTAAGCCGGGCTGGCTCCCAGCACCCTGACTAGGAAGAATGCCCGGAGCCCGGCCTCTGCGCTCGCTCCTTGCCCGGCGCCCCACGCACGCCGGCTTCCCGCCTCCAGCGCGGGTCCAGGAGGCTCGCTGACCACCTCCCACAGACGGGCGTGGCGTTCAGAGCTGTCTCCTGGCCGCGGCGTGCAGAGGCTGCCAGCGGCCACCGGCGAAATCAAAGGGACCAGAAAGAGGGCCGGGCCTACACGCGGAACGCTCGTGCTCGGGGCGGGACTGGGGATGGCAGGGGAGGACGGCGAGGACCGGCGGGGCCAAGGCTAGTTTCCCCGCACTTACGTTTTCTCCCCGGGGCCCAGGTTAGGGTACTGGTCTCCCGGCTGTTCCCTCTCTCCCCGCCCACCAGCCTCCAGAAACTCCAACTTATAAGGAACTGCCGGCCCGCCCTGCCCGGACCCTCCCGATCCCGCCCCCTCCAGCCGCGTTCAGCCCCGCCCACGGCGTTCCACGCTCCCGCCCGGCCGCCGCCCGCGTGCGTCGCCCCGCTGCCGCCAGAGGGGGCAATGCCTCGGCCTCGGCGCACAGTCAGCCACGGTCCCAGCCTGCCCCGCGCCGGCCAACGAGAGCAAATCCAGTGACTCACCTCCCTCCGCGCTAACTCCTCGCTTGCTTCCTTCTCACACACGCTCACACCCGGCGCGAGATGGCGGCAGCGGCGGGGGACTCCGATTCCTGGGGTGAGGAGAAGTTCCGAGGGCAGGTTCTGGGCCTGCGCCGGCGCTGGCTCCACGCCGAGGCAAGCACTAACGTGGCTCGCTCTCTTCCGTAGACGCGGACACGTTCTCCGTGGAGGACCCAGTGCGGAAGGTGGGGGGCGGTGGCACAGCCGGCGGGGACCGCTGGGAAGGCGAGGACGAGGACGAAGACGTCAAGGTGGGTACGGGCCGGGGCGCCGGGCCGCGTAGGAGGTGGGTTGGCGCTGTCGTGGGCGGGGTTGCCGGCCGACGGGCGGGCGGGCGGACTCGGCCCAGGGGCGCAGCCCGGGCCTGCGGGCCGTGAGTCCCGGCGCGGGCGTAGGGCTCGACGGTGCCGTCTTCTCCTCTGCTTGCCGACCCTATGGGCCGGATACGGGCGGCGTGGCCTCCCAGACTCCCTCGAGGAGACGCGGCGGCCTCGGCCCTTCTTTGAGGGTCCGTGTTCCGACCTGGATCCCACTCGCCCACTGGCTGCGGGAGGTGACAGCAGTTCCCGGCCTGCCCACGTGCAAACTTCGCTGTCTCTAGGCTCTCGGGGTTCGCGGGGATGAAGCTGGAAAGTTGACGACTGAGCCCTATGGCTGATCCCATTTGGAAAGTCTTACTGCCAGCCTGCGTTTTCGAGATCAGGCCCGTTTGTAGCAGAGTTTGTTGGATCGGTTAGATGAGTGAGATATTGTGTTTTGATTTATTTTTTTTTTTCCTTTTCACACGAGACAAGTAGAAACAGTGAAGTAAGTTTTAGCTCTCCCTCCTCCCACCCCCGTGGTAAAAAGGATGAACTGAGCACTGAGATACCCAGCAGCTAGTAGTCAGAAACCTAGTTCGTCCACACAACGACCTGAATAATGGAGAGTTGACAGAGTCAGTTATATATTATTCCTCACACAAGGACGATGCTTAAGGATGAAATAGTGAAGATTTGGCAGTTGGGGTAGACAATTTTTCCCCTACACCTTGTAGATCAGAACCATATTCACATACGTCGTTTGCTTTTCAAAACTCCCCCGGGCTCATAGGCCTTTAGATGACATTCTGACTTTTGTTTTTTCAGGTAGCTATGAAAGTCTCAAGTCCAGAATGTTAGGACCCTCAAATCCTTATTAACAAGGTTCTCAAAATCTTGTTATATTTTTGCAGATTAAAAGTATTGTATGAGATGGAAGAATGGTGTTTCAGGTTTTGATTAATTTAGTGAATGTTTTATGTTCCTGACTTCTGCCCTTCAGCATATCCTGAGAACCTTATAGATATGTCTGTTTGGATTGGAAGTTTTGAGTTAGATAATCACTATGAACTTAATAGCGCTCTTGTTTGGATTTTTCCCCTTTGTCCTGAGTCTGATGAGGTGGAATGCCCTGAACAGCTTGAGGTTCAGGGGAGATGTGAGCTTTGCACACACTGGAGTTAATAAATGAGTAGTACTGTTTACTGCCTGAAGATGCTTAGATGCTTCGTTTACATGTTGTCTAGGTAAGGGGGATAGATGGTGTTATCAGCCTCCTTGCAAGATATTAGTTATCTCTCTACATTGTGGAGCCCTGGTGGTGCAGTGGTTAAGAGCTCAGGCTGCCAACAAAAAGGTTAGCAGTTCGAATCTACCAGCTGCTCCTTGGAAACCCTGTGGGGCAGATTTTCCGTTTTGAACCTTGGCTTTGAGTTCAGATTTGTCCTTTTCAGTTTTCCATGCATACTGCGTGTGTCAGTTTAGATATCTGTTATGAAAATTGGGTTTAAGTTAGCAAATGAGAAGAAAAGATTAGAAAGTTAGGAAATAAGTCCCAGAAAATGAAGTTTGAATACAGTAGTCTGAACTGATACAGTATCATGAAGTAACCTGCCTGGAGTTATAGAATCTAACTGGTGTTGATCCTGATCAGTATAACTCTGATCTCTTGGAACTAGTTTTGGAGATTCACAAGTTGTAAGGACCCCTGGCGGCACAGTGGTTAAGTGGAACTGAAAGGCCGGTGGTTCGAACCTACCAGCTGCTCCCTGGGAGAAAGATGTGGCAGTCTGCTCCTGTAAAGATTATAGCCTTGGAAGCCCTGTGGGGCGGTTGTGGTTCTTCCCTGGCCCATAGGGTTGCTATGAGTAGGAATGGAAGTGATAGCAACAGGTTAAGGGACCATAAAGGTCATTTTGTCCAGATCCTTTTTTTTTAGTTTCCCAGTGTAGAAGTTGTCATTACAGTAGCTACCTCAAAGGGTTATTTTTCAGATTATATGAGATAATATGTTAGACACTAAGCAGAGTTGCGTGGCACATGGTACGTTGTCAGTACCTGTTAATTCTCTCTCACTTAATGGAAAATATGCTTAGGCTGTTGAAATCTAGCATTTGGGCTTTATTTTGTAGTATATTGTTTGTGATTTCCTAAGCCCGGAGGAGTCCTTTCTGCATTGCCTGTTTACTGTGAATTTTATGTTTTAAATGAAATGTCCATAGGTATCAAGGAAGTTTTTGCTTGTTCAGCACTTACTGATCTAGAGTTGAATTTTGTTGTCTTAGGTGGTGGTGAGTAACACCAAATTTCTGAATTCTAATATCTTAAAACAATCTTTGTATGGAGACACATTAAAGAAAAACAAAAACCTGTTGCTGTGGGGTTGATTCTGACTCATAGCGAACCCTGTAGGTTAGAGTGGAACTGCCCCATAGAATTTCCAAGGCTGTAATCTTTATGGAGCCCTGGTAGCGCAGTGGTTAAGAGTTTAGCTACTAATCAGAAGGTCAGCAGTTTGAATCTACTAGCTGATCCTTGGAAACCCTATAGCGACAGTTCTTTGTTGTATAGGGTTGTTATGAGTCGGAATTGATTCTCTGGCAACGGTTTTAATCTTTACGGAAGCAGACAGCCACATCTTTCTTGGAGCACTGGTAGGTTGGAACTGCTGACCTTTTGGTTAGCAGCTGAGTTCTTAAACACTGCGCCACCAGGGCTCCTTAAGGAGACACATACAAGGCTTAATTTTCATTTAATTGAATAATTACAGTCCTTAAATGATACAATATATAAATTTTTTAAAAATGTCTTTAAAAACAAGGTATGTAGAAACAGTGTAAATTCAGTTTATGTTAGCATCTAGGGCTTAATCTTTAAGAATATAGGCTTAACATTGTTTATAACATTCTAAGAAAAGGAAAGCCGAGGTCTTTGTCATGGTAGTTTACTTCAGTAGTTTGCTACTTTAAGTAGATATTATAGCATTTTGCTGCCATCGACTTTTCCAAAAGCTATGTGACAGTGGCAGGAATGGACTTAGGTGAAACTGTAGAACTGTTGATATTTGTGGGGCAAGTATTATGATTCTTCTCAGTTGAAAAGGTGAGAACTAGGGAGCATATCTTCCCACACACTGGCTTGCTTTACCTTTGTTGCTGTCCTAGTGTTAGACAGAGACATCGGGAGGGATTGTTTGCTTGGCGTACATCTCTGGGCTGGCCTGATGTGGAGGCTGTTGACTGAGATGTCAGGTGAGTACCTGCTGACCCACAGCAGCAGAGGCAGTACAGCTTTTAGTCCCAGTATTTCAGTAAAACAGAACTTAGAAGTTAGATTTTGTCACAGGGTGTAGAGTTTGTTTTGAGGAGACTTCTCTTGGCTGTGTTCAACCATTTCAGGCATTTGCTTCTGTAACTGTATTATAGAATTTCCTAAAGAGAGAGACCAGAAAACTGACTTAGTTGAAAACTGCCTGCCTCATTCTAGTGTCTCACCCTTCTGTTAGGATCCTATCCCAATTAGTAGTTTAAGTCTACCAGAGTAAGCACATTTTTCAGGGATTGGAAACAGCACTTCTGAAGAGAAAAGGTGAGCATTTTGCCAGGAAATGGGTTTCTTAAAGAAAGTGTGTGTGTGTGTGTGTGTGTGTGTGTGTGTGTGTGTGTGTATGTGTAACATTTTATTATGAAAAATTCCAGTCATACAGAAAAGTTTAATAAACCCATGGCCAATCTTATTTCCTCTGTGTCCCCACTTGGCTTCTCTTTCCTTCCAACTAGGTTATTTTGAAGAAAATCTCAATCATATAATTTCCATACCCTGACAGTTTTTATAAACTATCAAGTTTTGAGTTAGGAAGCATATTTGTTATTGAAAAATATTTATCTTATTTTTCATGCTGGGTCACTGAAAATGAATAAACCATTTGTTTAGTGTTCAGTGTCTTGAGCTTGATCTTGTTCAGCCAGGAATTTAAAATAGAATTGATTGAGAACAATTTCAATTATGAGACAGGCATCGAGTGCATGGAACTCAGCTGAGTGCTGAGCCTTAATAAACCCCCCCAAAAGCCAACCCGTTGCCATTGAGTCGATTCTGACTCTCAGTGACCCTATAGGACATAGTAGAACTGCCCCACAGAGTTTCCAGGGAGCAGCTGGTGGATTTGAACTGCCAACCTTTTGGCTAACAGCCATAGCTCTTAACCGCTGTGCCACGAGGGCTCCACAATAGGATGTTAAAAACTTAATGAATTGAATTAAATGAAGTAGAACTTAACTAAGGCAGGTATGTTGGTTTCCAGAGGCTAACATAGTTCTGAGATGACAGAAGCGCATTTGAACTTCTTTTAAAAGCTAAGTCTATCCTTGCTAGGAGCTCATTGCAGAGTTCTGAGACCTCTCAGAGCAGGTCTGCCCAGCTTACAGAACATCAGTAAAAGGCTCTTCTGCCAAGAGGTTAAGCTAAACCAAGCTGCTTGAAAAAAAGGGAGGGACGAGGAAGGCGTTTGTTAGTTAATGGGCTATTGCTGTGGGGCAGAAGAGTTCTACTGCTCTTTTGACGCTACTTCTATTTAATGATCTATAAATATACCTTGCTTAAATTAGAAAGCATTTTCAGCCCTAAATGTGTTCTCTCATTGCATGTGACATTCTATAGCTGTATATTATAAAAACAACAGAGCCTGCCAACTAATGGCTGCATTCTTTTAGAAAGAAAAAGAAAACAGGGTTTTTAAATTTCCTGTTTTGTTTCTAATACTATTCAAGTTCAGTCGGAAAGCACGTTTTAAACTTGAAAAGCAGCCATCTTTTAGAGAAAGAGCTCAAATGATGATGGATGTGTTATTTACAGGGCAAGAGTTAAATAAGCAAGTAGTTTACAAACAGTTTCTATTCTAACAAAGCTAGCTGTTATAGAAGAGCAACCTGGGTGATTCTTTTGGAAATACGTTAGATATTATATATAGTTGGAAGATTTATTGGCTACCAAAAATAATTAAGTAAGGGACTTAAATTGGATGTTGATAGGTAGTCTCTTGAACCAAACAGCCATTTAGGGCTCTTTGAAGTGAGTCTTTTTGAAGAGACCCACAGTCCTGATTTTAAGTGTTAATTTTAGATGTTTTTCTAGGAATCCTTTCTGCATTTTGTCTGAACTTATTGCTAACATATCCAGGGTCCCAGAGTTTACAGAAAATTTGGGAGATTTTTCTGAACCAGTGTGACAATCTACCTTACACTTACTTTTTGAATACCAAAGTATAAAATCAGCTCTCTAGTTCTTTTTTGCTGTGGTGCATTCATTTAAGCTCTTCAGCAAACTAGCAAGGTAATACAGACATTTCATCTCTAATTTCTAACTTTAGTATCTTAGATGTCCAAATAATGATTAGTTGGTTTGCTTTAAATCTCTTAAAATGGGAACTGTGGATTAAATTGCCAAGGTAAGGTGATTATAAAATGCAGTGTTGACTTTTATACAAAGCTCCTCCCAGCCTTCTTGGAGAATTGGCTGCAGCTCTGCTGCACAGCCTTAATCAGGTTGTTGAACTTGTAATTTCTTTGGCGGACTTACAGGGTTTTATTAAGAATCAATGCTTGATTAGTTTATATACCTAGATATTCAGATTTATGATTTGTCTTGTTGTAAAACCAGAAGCTTGGTGTCATAATTGTGGCACATTCGTCAGCCTCTGTGTGTTCATCAGCGCCTCCTGGTTTGCACATGCCATCCTGTGGCTTAGCTTCAAATAATGTGTCATAGTGTGCCTGGTGGTTGCTGAGACAGTTGTCAGGCTGCCTATAGATTAAAGCCCTGGGCTTTATCTATCCCTAATAGACTTCAACCTTCCAAATTCTGTGGAGTTTTAAAATTTTTTTGGTTGATAATTGGTTTATTTTTAGCTCAGGAGGTGCTCAGTGACTGAGTTATGCATAGGTATAGATCTGAAGAACATTACTCACCTCAGAGTGCTCTGCCCCAGTCAGGGAGTAGATTCCAGGAAGATTTTAATTGGCTCTTGACTGCTCTTTAATACTGGACTTAAATATTATGTAGATTAAATTTATTATCCAGTGTTGTGTGGGATGCTTTTACACTTGGGAAAGTAAGAAGTACAAAGTCCATTCGGCTTTTGATTTAAAACAACTGAATCATTTTAAGAGAAACTGTTAGTTTTGGCTTGTTTGTCTTGTGTTTTAGTTGTTAATGGAGAAGCTTTTTTATGGAGTTAGACTAATCAGTATAAAAGTTCATATGGAAAATAAACATGCAGGAGTGGCCAGGGAAACACTGGAAACCCAGAACACCTGCAGGGTGGGGGTGGAGGGACTAGGCCTAGCAGACATTAAAACATACTGCATATACAAGCCTTTGTTATTAAAACAATATGGAACTGGTCTATGAATAGACAAATAGACCGATGGGATAGAATAGAAGGCCCAGAAACAGACCAAGTGCATAGGGAAATTTAGCATGTGGTAAATTATGGGGCAGAGATGGGCTTTTTAATAAATGGTGCTGTGACAACTGGGTAGCCACTTGGAAAAAAATAAAATTAGATCCATATTTGACACCATACGCAAGACAAAACTCCAAATGGACCAGGGATCTAAATGAAAAAAATAAAAATAATGAAACCATGCAAGTTCTTAAAGAAAACATGGGTGAATTCCTTAGTGTAAGAAAAGACTTCTGTCTCAAAATCTAGATGCAATAAAAGAAAAGATTGATAAATCTTCATAAATTTGGTGGGGGGGGGTGCATGGCACTTCATGGAAGATACTAGGGCATTTCCATTAACAGAAGAATAAGGTAAGGATGTCCATGATATCTGCTGCTATTCAACATTGTACTAGAGGTATTAACCAGTGCCATTAGATAAGAAAAAAATCAATTGTGGAGGCATTAGAATTGGTAAAGAAGAAATTTGCAGATGATTTGATAGTGTATCAGGAAAAACCAGAGAATCAGTGATAAAACTAATATGGTAAATGAATTTAGTAAGATAGCAGGATATAAAATTAACATACAAGAATGAATAGAGTTCATATACACAAATAATAACTAGTTAGAAGACCTCGTAGTAGGAAAACAATTTATCTACAATAGCCACACAGAAGAGTAAATAAACAGACAAAAAACACTAAACCTGTTGCCATTGAGTCAAGTCGATTCTGACTGATGGCGACCCTACAGGACAGAGCAGAACCGATCCATAGGGTTTCCAAGGAGTGGCTGGTGGATTCCAACTGCCAACCTTCTGGTTAGCCCCCAGGCTCTTAACTGCTGTACCACCAGGGCTCCAGAATAGTTTTAGAGATATAGAAGAGTAAATACTTAGGAATAAACCTAATGAGAAATGTACAGAACCTGTAAGAGGGAAACTTTAAAACACTCCTGAAAGACACAAAAGTAGATTTGCACAAATGGAAAGACAGTCCCTGTTCTTGGCTAGGATGGCTCATCATAAAGATGTCAGCTTTCCCTACATTAGTTTATAGATTCAATGCAATCTTAATAAAAATACCAGGAAGTTTGTTTTTATGGAGTTTGACGATTTGGTAATAAAGTTCATACGGAAAAGCAAACATGCGAGATTATTAACGGAGGTCCTTTTCTTTAGGATAACTGGGATGATGATGATGACGAGAAAAAAGAGGAACCTGAGGAAAAGCCAGGTGAGCCACTGGGGCTCCTCCATTTTTGGTGTTCTGTCTTGGTGAGCATCTGCTGCATGTGTCAAGACAAATGACAGAATGCTTACAAAGTGAAAATTTTGGTATTTTAGAAACCAAGCGTCTTTCCTTTCCCACTTTATTCTCTCCCCCTGCGTCTGTTCTCTGTTCCCTCAGACATAATTAGGTGGTTTTTCTGTTTGATGCTGCTTTTCTCTGAGTGCTGGGTATAGGAGGGAGTGTGGCATCATAGTTAAATGACCTAAGTCCTACCTAAAGAACTGGAGCAATATGAAGGGAGATATTTGGCTTTTAGGGATCAGATTAGAGAAGAAAAAGGAAGAGTACCAGAACTTTCCCATTTTTACTTGCCAGGAAATCACCATATAGAATTGGAACTGGGGAGAGGTTTGATCGCTTGAAGTATATCATGTCTGTCTCATCCATAAACTGGAAGATTTGCATAATAACTACGATTAAAACATTTTTTACTTCTAGAAGTAAAAGTTTCAGAAAAGAAAAAAATAGCAGAGAAGATCAAAGAGAAAGAACGGCAACAAAAGAAAAGGCAAGAAGAAATTAAGAAGAGGGTAAGTAATATTTGGATTCCCTGGGTTGTGCAGTTAATGTGCTCAGCTGCTAACTGAAAGGTTGGAGGTTTGAGTTCACCCAGAAGCTCCTCAGAAGAAAGGCCTGGCATCCTACTTCTGGGGAAAAAAATCAGCCATTGAAAACCCTGTGAGTAGAGTCCTACTCTGACACATGGGGTCGCCATGAGTTGGGGCCAACTTGACAGCTGGTTCTCAAGTAGTGGTCATTTTTTAAAATACAGAGTCTACACATCCGTAGCAGTGCAGTATCTAACAGGCAGCAAATAGTACAATTTGAAGGGCTCTGTGAAGACTGTAAATGGACATCATCAGACAGGCGAATCCCAAAACAAACTTTTTTGCATAAATAGAACCCAGAAGCTTTGTGTATTAGAATGCATTTCAAATTTTCACTAAACGATCGGGAATACAGGCAGTCCCCAGATTATGAACAAGTTCTATTCCTAAATCTGTCTTTAAGTTGAATTTGTATGTAAGTCTGAACAGTTATGTATGGTTCTTATCTAATGTCAATTAGTCAGCTGTTTGTCTTTATATATAGTGTACCTTTCTATACATAAAAAACATTAAATATTTCCAGATACACTGAAACATCTTTAACATAATAATAATGTTTTGATGTGCGTCACAAAGTCATGCCTGTTGTTATGAACCATTGTATGTACCTCAAATTTTTAATAGGCTTATGGGGATTGGTTTGTCACTGCAGAGCCCTGGTGGCACAGTGGTTAAGAGCTCCGCTGGCTGCTAACCAAAAGGTAGCATTCGAATTCATCAGCCACTCCTTGGTAACCCTATGGGGCAGTTCTAGTGCGTCCTATAGAGTCGCTGTGAGTCAGAATCGACTCGATGGCAATGAGTTTGGTTTGGAATGAGTTCGTAACTACGGGTTGTATGTAAATCAGAGGTTCGTAACCCGGGGACTGCCTGTAGTCATGATTGATTTTTGTCTGTATTGAGTGAAATACAAAGTGTCCATTTTTCTGTGTGTACTGTATAAGTGTTTTTGTTCTTTGATTATGTGGAGCAGGGTCAGGATTATTGTATTTGTTTTTTGAATAGAAAATACGTTTATGTGGATCAAAAATTAAAACAATATTAAGCACTGCTAACCCTTATTCATCCTGTTTCTCCTCCTCCACCCCACAAGTAAGTACTGTTTTTCTGTGGCTCCAAGGTGTCTTTATGCAGAATACAGCTGTATATTCTTTCCTCACCTTTGTTACACACAGTTTCCCTCTTGCTTTTAAATTTAACATACTGTGGCGACCTTTCCTTACTAGGTCATAGAGAGATTTTTTGTTCTTTTCTTGATTTTTTATTAAGAAAATGTTCAAACATAACGTTGAGAAAGTAGCATAATGAATAATCATATACATGTCACCTAAATTTAACAAATTTTGCCATATTTGCTTTATCTTTTTTTTTTTTTTGCTAAAATATAGTCGAGTAAATAACAAGCATAATGTCATTTTACCTCTGAATATTTCAGTGTACATCTCTAAAAAAGGAAGGGTATTTCTCATGTGATTAAAATAGCATTATCACACTTAATATTATGAGTAATTTTTTAAACATCCAATATTGAGTTTATATGCATTTTTCTAGTAGTCCCAAAATGCCTCTTACATTTGGTTGGTTGAACAAGGACCATGCAGTGCATTTGGTTGTTAATGTATCCTAAGTGTCCTAGAGTGTCTGTCTCTCTGTCTCTTTCTCTCTTTTCTAACTGACATTGACTTGTTGAAGAGACCAGGTTACTTGTCTGGTAGAACATCCCACCTTCTGGATTTGTCTCATTGCTTCTTCATGGTTGCCATTTCCTGTAATGTCAGAAATCTAACCTTTCGGAATCTAAAAGATTCAGGTTAATAAACACTTTTGGCCAGAATATTTTAAGAGGTAATGCTTTGTACTTCATATTGAATCACATAGGAGTTATGTAATGTCTGTCCTATTAATAGTGATGCTAAAATTGATTACTGGGTTAAGGTGTAGTGACAGCCTGATCCTTCTATTATAAAATTACATTCTTTCCCCAAGTAGTCCAGTTTCATGTCAACTTTTCACCCATTAGTGTTTGTATCATTGATGATCATTGCCTAATTATTTCATTAGGGATTGCAAAATGGTAATTTTAACTACCAGTTTTCAGAATAACTTCAAGCAGTGAAAAATGAGGGATTTTTAAAATTTTCTCTTTTTTGAGTAAATTTATGCACTTGGGGGTTTTTATAAATTCACTGTGTTTTACTCAGATATAGTGATTTTTTTCTGATGTTCAGATTGTCACAACTTTGGCCAGTAGGAGTCCCTGTAAGCTGGTCCTACATCCATCCTTTCCACAGGACCCATTAGTCTTTGTTTCTGGCAGAATAATAAGTGCCAGGCTCACCATACTCACCATGCTCACCCATGCTCACCCATGCTCACCCATGCTCACCCATGCTCACCCATGCTCACCCATGCTCACCCATGCTCACCCATGCTCACCCATGCTCACCCATGCTCACCCATGCTCACCCATGCTCACCCATGCTCACCCATGCTCACCCATGCTCACCTCGCTCACCTCCGCCCTAGGCCTAGAATTGGCTGTTTCTTCAATGTTCCTTTTAGTGGAAAATAGCACTTAGAGACCAAATCTAGGTGCTTGGAGTGCTCAGTATTATTGGGGTGGCCTTTCCTTCTAGAACCCTTTTCATAGACAAACCTAGGAAATATACAAATTTACACACACACACACACACACACACACACACACACACACACACATACATACATATATATAATCATTTTGCTGATATTTGTTCATACCAGTTCATATTGATACTTCTGTTGTATAGTTAACAATACAGGGTTTAACTTTTTTTCTTTTATATTGAAAATCTTGGTTTCTAATAATGTTAACTTAATTGTTTATTTGCTTTTTTCTATGATATCAATATTGCCACCAACAATGTAAAGTATCTGAATGAAGTTTAGGATTTCTTTGCAGTTCTTCTGCCATCCCCCATAATCATATTATTGGGAACATCCAAAATGGAATATTTGTTAAGTCAAAGGCAACATTGGGTACAGGTTTAAAAATACAAGCTTTTCTCTCAGTAATTATGCATAAGATCCCAAAACATCACTTAAAAATTTAGAATTGTAATAAGGCCATTAAATAAAGGAATATAAATTCATTCATTCATCAGTAGCAAGAATGATCAACCTTGGAATGATGGATTGGTTACTTACTGGATCAAAGTCATAGTGACATTAATAAAGAATGTTTGCCTTGAGCATGGTGCTCTTTTAAAGAATGACTTAGATGCGATCAGTTTGACAGCAGTAAGCCTGAAGCACAGCTGAAAACTTTAAGGGGCAGAGAGTAAGTCAGCAGTGGTGAAATAATATGGGTAGAGATAGTGAGAATGGCGATACAATGCGAAGTGTAAAAACTGTTGAACCGGTGTATGTTTTGTTAGATATATTTTCACACGCACAAAAAAATTAAGTCCAACACAAGGAAAACATCGTTTACTTTGTCAGTGTATTTGAGGTCATGAGCAATTGTAAGGAATAGTACAGAAATAGATAGATGAACTAAACTAAATAGTGTCTTTCTCTTTCCTACAGGGGCTCAATTCTTTTTCCAGTCACCTCTACAGTTTCAGGTTAAAAACAATGCGTGGAGGAAAATGAAAATTTAGAAATAAAATTTTCTGTGGTAGGGATATATAGAAGAAGCCCTAGTGGCACAGTGGTTAAAGTGCTCGGCTGCTAACTGAAAGGCCAGCAGTTCAAACCCACCAGCCGCTCCGCAGGAGAAAGATGTGACAGTCTGTTTCCATAGGGATTTACAACCTTGGAAACCCTGTGGGGTAGTTCTCCTTGGTCCTTTTGGGTCACTATGAGTCGGAATCGACTCGATGACAATGAGTTTGGTTTGGGTTTTGGATATATAGAGTGTCATTTTGATGACGTCCTCTCTTCCCCCCATATTCCTGCAAGTAAGCTTGTATGTTTGGGTGAGATAAATGATACTGTCTTCAGTGGGGAGTAATGGGGAAGGACGAGGAATGCTAGGATACCAGGGGATTATATGCCACTGTACAGGCATACCTCGGAGCTATTGCCAGTTCGGTTCCAGACCACCACAGTAAAGCGAATATTGCAATAAAGCAAGTCATGTGAATTTTTTGGTTTTGCAGGGCATATAGAAGTTAAGTTTATACTATACTGTAGTCTGTTAAGTGTGCGATAGCTTTATGTCTAAGAAAAAAATGTACATACCTTAATTAAAAAATGCTTTATTGCTAAAAAATGCTAACCATCATCTGAGCCTTAAACAGGTTGTAATCTTTTTTGCTGGTGGAGGGTCTTACTTCGGTATTGATGGCTGCTGACTGATCAGGGTATTGGTTGCTAAGGCTTCGGGTGGCTGTGGCAATTTTTTAAAATAAGACAACAATGAATTTTGCCCATCGATTAACTCCTTTCATGAAGGATTTCTCTGTAGCATGTAATGCTATTTGATAACATTTTACCTACAGTAGAACTTCTTTCAGAATTGGAGTCAGTCCTCTCAAACCCTGCCACTAAGTTTATGTAATAGTCTAAATCTTTTGTTGTCATTTTAACAGTGTTCACAGCATCTTCACCAGGAGTACATTCTGTCTCAAGAAACTATTCTCTTTGCTCATCCGTAAGAAGCAACTCCTCATCTGTTATGGTTTTATCATGAGATTGCAGCAATTCAGTCTCATCTTCAAGCTCCACTTCTAATTGTAGTTCTCTTGCTATTTCCAGCATATCTGCAGTTACTTCCTCCAGTGAAGTCTTGAACCCCTCAAAGTCACCCATGAGGGTTGGAATTAACTTCTTCCAAATGCCTGTTAATGTTGATATTTTGACCCCCTCTCATGAATCACGGATGTTCTTATGACATCTAGAACGGGGAACGGTGAATCCTTTCCAAAAGGTTTTCAATTCACTTTGCCCAGATCCATCAGAGGTTAGAGGAATCACTATCAGTGGCAGTTATAACCTTACAAAATGTATTTCTTAAATAATAAGACTTAAAAGTCGAAACTCCTCCGTGATCCATGGGCTGCAGAATGGATGTTGTGTTAGCAGGTACGAAAACAACATTGATCTCTTTGTACATCTCCATCAGAGCTCTTGGCTGACAGGGTGCATTGTCAGTGAGCAGTAGTATTTTGAAAGGAATCTTTTTTTCTGATGGTAGGTCTCAACAGTGGCCTTAAAATACTTAGTAAACCGTGTGGTAAACATGTGCTGTCATTTCAGACTTTGTTGTGTCATCCACAGAGCACAGGCAGAGCAGACTTAGCATAATTCTTAAGAACCCTAGGATTTTTGGAATGTAAATGAGCAATGGCTTCAACTTAAAGTCAAGCTGTCCTTGAAGCTTTGAAGCCAGGCGTTGACTTCTCTCTGGCTGTGAAAGTCCTAGACAGCACTGTCTTCCAGTATAAGGCCGTTTCGTCTGCGTTGAAAATCTGTTGTTTAGTGTAGCCACCTTCATCAATTATCTTAGCCAGATCTTCTGGATAACTTGCTGCAGCTTCTACATCAGCACTTGCTGCTTCATCTTGCACTTTTATTGAGACAGCTTCTTTCCTTAAACCTCGTGAACCAACCTCTGCTAGAATTGAAGAGAGTTAGGTCTTGCTCTGGATTAGGCTTTGGCTTAAAGGAATGTTGTGGCTGGTTTGATCTTCTGTCCAGGCTACTAAAACTTTCTCTGTATCAGCAATAAGGCTGTTTCACTTTCTTATCATTTGTGTGTTCACTGGAGTAGCGCTTTCAGTTTCCTTCAGGAGCTTTCCCTTTGCAGTCACAGCTTTGCTAACTGTTTGGCACAAGAGGCCTAGCTTTCGGCCTATCTCGTTTCTAGCTTTGGATTTAAAGTGAGAGACATGTGACTCTTCCTTTCACTTGAACACTTAAAGAGGCCGTTGTAGGGTTATTAATTGGCCTAATTTCAGTATTGCCGTGTCTCAAGGAATAAGGATGCTCAAGGAGAGGGAGAGAGATGGGGGAATGGCTGGTCAGTAGAGCAGTCAGAACATAACAACATTTATCAATTAAGTTTGGCGCCCCAAAACAATTACAGTAGTAATATCAAAATCACGAATCACAGATCACCAGCATAACAGTTATAATAATAATGAAAAAGTTTGAAATATTGCAAGAATTACCAAAATGTGACATAGAGACACGAAGTGAGCACATCCTGTTGGAAAAATGGTACCAATAGACTTGCTCAACTCAGAGTTGCCACATACCTTCAGTTTATAAAAAAACAACTATCTGTGAAGTGCAGTAAAGCGAAGTACAGTAAAACAAGGTATGCTTGTATTTCTTTTTGGGCTTAGAGTGTATCCTACTGTCTTAGTTATCTAGTGCCGTTATAACAGAAATACCACAAGTGAATGGCTTTAACAAACAGAAGTTTATTCTCTCAGTCTGGTAGGCTAGAAGTCCAGATTCAGGGCATCAGCTCCAGGGGAAGGCTTTCTCTGTCAGCTCTGCAGGAAGGTCCTTGTCATCAGTCTTCCCCTGGACTAGGAGCTTCTCTGCACAGGAACCCCAGGTCCAAAGGACGCACTCTATTCTCGGCACTGCTTTCTTGGTGGTATGAGGTCCCATGTCTCTCTGCTTGCTTCTCTCTTTTCTGTCTCAAAAGAGATTGGCTTAAAACACAATCTAATCTTGTAGATTGAGTTTACATAACTGCTGTTAATCCCATCTCATCAACATCATAGAGGTAGGATTTACAACACATAGGGAAATCACATCAGGTGACAAAATGGTGGGCAATCACACAATACTGGGAATGATGACCTAGCCAAGTTGACAGGTAGTTTTGGGGGACACAGTTCAATCCATGATACCTACTAAGAATTTGTAATCATGTCCTGGGATCTGAAGTCACTTGAATTGTTTCCCTGTGTCGTTATGTCTAATTTGATAGACATTTTAGAGTCATTTGTTTCAGTTTTAGGAATTTTTTTTAAGTTTTTATTTAACTTTATTTTTTGAACACAAAAAATGTTCAGAAATCAAAACTATGCAAAAATGGTATACTCAGAGACTTCTCCACCCTGACCCGTCACCCCTGTGAAAAAACATTTTTATTAGTTTCTGGCTTATCTTTCCTTATTCTTTTTCTTGTAGCTGCATAATATTCCATTGTCTTAGATGTACCACAGTTTACCAGTCCCTGTTAGTGGACAGTTGGATTTTTTTCCCAAATCCTTTACTTGATGATTCTTCAGTGAATAACCATGTATGTGTGTCATTTCTAAATTTCCTGATGTGGAATTTCTGGGTCAAAGGGAAATCACATCTGTAGTCTTTGACAAATGTCCCTAAATTGCCCTCCATATAGGGTTGTATTAATTTGTATTTGCTAAATGCTTTTTAATAATTTGCACTTATATATACCTACATGTATGTTTCCACGGTCAGAACAAGCAGTAGAATCTTATAACTTAGTCTAAGGACTGGTATTGATTGGCAGTTTCTTAGTCATTGAGGTTAGAAATGTATTTTGTTATATCTTATTTTTCCCAATGAAGAAACTTTAATTTGAGCATACTTAATTTGAGTTTATCATAGGCCAAGCATTGAGTTACAGTATTTTTGGTTTTGATGCAGGAATAAATAATGACATTCAGGACTACTAAGAGCATTACGTCAAGAAATTCACCTTTTTTTCCTAGAAAGTATTCTTGGATTTTCTGACTTGTCGTAACCACCATTCTTTCTCACTCATGTCTTCTCCATCAGAAATAAAATGTCATCTGTTTCAGAAGTTGCTTTCTGAATCAAAATCTTCAAACTACATGGGCACGAATAACCAAGGGCACAAATGCCCTTCACGCTTTTCCCAGTAAAGTTCACTGAGGATTTTTTTTCCCTCATAATAAAAGTAATCTGTACTTGTTGCATAACATTATTTTACAGTGTATAAAAAGGATGTACACTAAATTGTTATGTGGCTTTATCTCAGAAGAGGGGGACTGGGAAATAAGTGGTAACTTCCATTGTTGTGTATTTTAAAATTGTTAACAAAAATTTGTTACTTTTAATAATACATTTGTTAGTACTATGGTGCTGATATTACAGCACAGTATAATATGATGAAGATAGATACATGAAAAAGACATATGTCTGCATGGTATTTGGTCATGTGGATGTGGCATAATTTATTTAACCACTGTGGACATTTAGGTTGTCTTTAATTTATTTGAAATTATACCTAATATTCCAGTTGACATCTTTGTTCAAAACTATTTGTGTGCATCTTTGGTTTCTTCAGACAGATGTCTAAAAGTGGAATTATTGGGTTAAAGCATGTAAAAACATTTTTAGACTTCATACCAGGTTCTCTTGAAAGGTTCCAATTTATGGACTTATCAGCGGTATATGAGAGTACCGTTTTTACCTAGCCGAAAATCACAATTCTGTATTTAAAAAAAAAAAAAAAAAAGCTATGGAAATAAACCCAGTCTTCCTGGGTTCAGATCTCAGCTCTGCTACGTTCCCAGTGGTATCACCTTCTGTTCCCTCGGGCAGGTTACTTAACCTCTTTGTGCCTCAGTTTCTTACTTGTAAAATGGGGATAAGAGCTGTATCTACCTCATTAGTTCTTATGAGGCTTGTATCTGAGTTAATGGACCTAAATTCTTTAAAAGATGGCCTGAAATGCAGTAATTGCTTTAGTGTTTGCTATTATTTATATGTGCCTATTAAAAAATTCATACAGTACAAAAATGCCCCGTAATTGCAGCCCTTTTAAAATACTGTCTGTCTCTTTTAGTTAGAAGAAACGGAAGAACCTAAAGTGCTAACACCAGAAGAACAATTAGCAGATAAACTGCGACTGAAGAAATTACAGGAAGAGTCAGACCTCGAATTAGCAAAGGAAACTTTTGGTAAGATGGGGATGTGACTTCAGTACAGTGTTGAACCGTTCCAGATGAAAACTCTGCAAGTCTTACTGGCTAGGAAGATTCAGAAAACATCTTTTTTGAAGAAATATGATACTAATTTAGATATTAGAAAGCAATTTTTCTTTTTTTAATGGTTTTAAATATATCTGTATATATAACTCATTTGCCAGTTTAGCATTTTCCAGGTGCACGGTTTAGAGGTATCAGTACCAGTCATATTGGACAACCATCACCCAAGATCATTGCCAGATATCCCATGACTGTGAACAGGAGCTCAGTGCTAGAAAGCAGTCTTTAATCTCTTTGTATATTATTTAAGATTTCACTACTTGAAAAGGTAAAGTGAGATACATGCTTAGATTTTTCAGTTATTGGTTTGGGTGTCACAAGATTATTAAGATAAAAAGTTATTGGACCCAAAAAAAGTATACTGCTGCCTTGAATATTTTTATCAGCTGGATGAAATGTGAGGTCTGGAGCTTAAAAATTTGCATATTGAACCACCTGTAAGGCTGTCTTGTTAAGTCTGAATAAGACTTGGACAACAGGATGCTGGCAAAGGCGAGGCCAAAACGGAACGCCTCGCCTTCTTGTGTTCACGGGCACTTCTTCCTGTGACCCCTTGGCCCTCACCATACCATCTTTAGGGGCTTCCATTTCTGTGCGCCATGCCTGCAGCTGTGATTAGTGAATGAGATAAAAGGATCCTGCAGGTAGGTAACAAGCTTAGAGTATCCCGGGGAAGGGCTGCATGGCACAAACGGTAGAGTAAGAGATGTGACCAGATATGTAAAGTTCACACTTCATTTAACCAAGTTTGTTGTTAGGTAAAGAAACATTTAAGTAACTGGGAAATTGAAATCCAAGGACTAGAACTAACCTGATTCCTCCCCCGCCTTCCCTAAAACGTATAGAGCAGGCTGACTGGTGGCCAGTCTGCTTTCTATGGGAAGGAAGTCTGACCTGAGCTCCCAGCGGGCCTCGAGCAGCTAGTCTTCTGGTTGCTGTGGGGGCTTCGGTGCGCTCGTGTAATTAAAGGGCACGCGACCAGCATCGTGTCTTCACAGGCTGGTAAAAGCTGCCCACGGGTTTGTTAAAGAAGGGTTTACGTGCATAAGGCCTGGAGGAGGCGACTGGTTACAGATGAAAAGGCAAAAGCAGTGTGCGTTCATACAGTCATTGTTTGGTTAATAGAATTTTAAAGCTGTGTCTCATACTAAAATACTGAATTAATAGAATTTTAAAGCTGTGTTTCTCATACTAAAATACTGAAATCAGTGATACTGTTATCAACTAATTTACTTGACTATTGACAGTAGCTTACTTATCTTTTAGACTAGAACCCTTTTAAGTCAGATTAATTTTGAGATTTAACACAGGGTTTGCCCTTACTTAGCTTCTGGAGTTAGCTGATGCTTCCACAGGATTCATCTTTGTTTCCTACGCTTTTTGCCACCTCTCCCTACTTCTCTCTGGGCTATGCGTGGACAAGCCTTTGATTCAGAGCACCCCTTTGGTGTCCTGAGCCCCTTCTTTTTTTTTTTTTTTTTTTATTGTGCTTTAGGTGAAAGTTTACAGGTAATTTTCATACAAAAATTTATACACATATTGTTACGTGACATTAGTTGCAATCCCTATAATGTGACAGCACACACCCCCTTTCCACCCCGGGTTTCCCATGTCCATCCAACCAGCTCCTGTCCCTTCCTGCCTTCTCATCCTGCCTCCAGGCAGGAACCACCCATTTGATCTCGTGTATCTGCTTGAACGAAAGCAGCACACTCTTCAGGAGTATTATTTTGTTTTACAGTCCAGTCTAATCTTTGTCTGAAGGGTGGGCCTCGGGAATGGTTTTAGTTTCGGGTTATCAGAGCATTTGGGGGCCATGGCTTCCAGGGTTCCTCCAGTTTCAGTCAGATGTGGGCCCCTTCTTAATGTTTTTAAATGCAGAAAATTACATAGGATTTTATAAAGGAAACCTGATATATTGAAACCACAAAAGATTAAAATAACAAATTTGTGATGCAGTAATTGTGGGCTTCTTAATGCATGAAGTAGTAAGGTCTAGGGGCAGGTCTAACAACTAATACAATTTGAAAGTAATGATGACTGTGGACACTGTTTTGCGATATCTGCAACAGCTATAACGTGATAGGAAAATATCTATGATCTCTATTGCTAAGTCAGGTTTTGCTGATACCACAGTGATTTGTTGCCTGTCATCAAAATGGAAGGAAATGCTGAATTAGAGGTTAGTGAAAATAAAGATACAAATTTGTTTTTCAACCAAATTCACAGGCCCCATGAATTCTGTCCAAGAACCCCAATGGATCCCAGTTAAGAGCCCCTGCTTGAGAATGAAATAACAAGTTCATTAAGACAGCTAATTGGTTTATAACCTTTTTATCTTAACTTCCTAACATTTTCCATGTTCTTTGGTCTCACAGGTGTTAATAGTACAGTTTATGGAATAGATGCTATGAACCCATCTTCAAGAGATGACTTCACAGAGTTTGGAAAGTTACTAAAAGATAAAATCACACAGTATGAAAAATCACTATATTATGCCAGCTTTTTGGAAGCCTTAGTTCGAGACGTGTGTATTTCATGTAAGTAACTCTTATCTCTGCGGTGGAGATATGGTGGATTTTGGTAAGGACACACCATATTCAGGAGGATGGAAGTTATCATGTGGCCTCAGGATTTGCTTTTCAGTAATTAACTTGGGAATGTTGTTCTGCAGATACACAGTCAGGTTGAGTTCTCCTGTGTTGTGTTTGAGGCTGCCGTGTTATGTTCTACAGCGGCTTCCCAGACATCTGGGCTTGTCAGCACAGCAGCTAAGAAAACACCAGCTGATTCTTTTTATCTAATTGTCCTTTTTAAAAAAATTATGGTTAAATTATATAACAAAAAGTTTGTCATTTGCCATTTTAACCATTTTTAAGTGTACAATTGTGACATTAATTATACTCAGCATGTTGTGCTACCATTGCTGCCATCCATTTCCAAACATTTTTGCCATCACCCCAGACAGAACCTCACTATTCTGACACCTTAACTCTCTATTTCCCACACCCTGCACTTTGGTCTCTCTGTTGTCTGGTCTGGGTATTTTGTGTAAGTGAGATTGTACAATATTGGTCCTCCTGTGTCTGACAAGAGGCTACAAGTATTGTTTTGGGGAACTGATTCTGGGTATATCGAATCTTAAAGCTGTGTGAGACTAGCTTGCCAGAGCTGGTGCCGTGCACGACCTCCGGGTCCCTGCATTTGAAATTAGGTTTTCTTAGAGAAATTATGCTAATTTCTTGGAGAAATGATCACTAAGTTGGGGTTCTGGATCCGACCAGTGATATTCCCGTGGTTGATTGTTTTGTTCTGCACGTGCGCTCTTTTCCCTGTTTTTGGAGCTGCCTTCTGACCAAAGCACCCGAACAGTTTTGGTAGCTAAAAACTGGTGTCTGGTTCCAGCTACACATTTTTATAAAGGTGTGAGGATGTGAGGTCCACTAAACAGGCCCTTCTTGGTAGGACACTGAGGCTTCTGAGATACCCACTGTTTTCATCATAGTTCCTGTGCTAGAGAACAGAGACACCAAGGGGGTTTTGTCTTCCTTGGGTTTACGAGTTGTTCCATGTTCGTTCAGCTGCTCCTCAGAGGCATGGAGGCTGTGCTGTGGAAGGGCATGGCTGTCTTCCTGCGTCTGTGGACACTGGGTGGGGTGGGGAGGGGGGTGGAAGTGTCTATGAAGACACTCTATACAGTTTTCCTTCTTTGTTGAGTGGATGGTGTCCTGGTGATTACATGGCATTTATAAGGTTAAATTTTTGTCACTGAGTTTGCCATTTTATTTAAAATAGTTCTGATTTGTGAGCCTAGCCATAGACTGTTTCTTTACTACCTTATGTTAAAAAGGATTAATTCATAGCCATTGCAAAGTTACTGAAGTTAATGATGGAAAAATTAGATTTCCCATACACTTTTAGAAAAATGTACATTTCCTTTTATGCCCCAAAATGCTTAAAAATTAAAGTTGAGTGGTATGTTCCCCCTTCTTTTTTTTTTTGTTTTAGTGGAAATTGATGACTTGAAAAAGATTACCAATTCATTGACTGTGCTGTGCAGTGAAAAACAGAAGCAAGAAAAGGTAACAGTAAGTTGTACAGGGAAATGTGTATTAGTTAGAATGGGGCAGAGGCTGGGGGAAATTTCACATTGAGAATGCATTTAGAGGCAATTATACTGTTAATTCTCAAAAAATATGGTAGGAGCCTGACCTAAGAAATTCAAAGTCAAGAAATTCACCAGCACCATGTAAGCTGGAGTATAACAGGTGTGTCACAGACGTGTGTGTGTCGCCTTAGGTTGGGGGTCTCCCTTAGAGAACTAGAGCTTTGCTGGGCCCAGAGGATGTGGTGTCTCCGTGAGGGTTGCTACATGAGTTAGAGGCCCGTAGTAGATGAAATCTGATGAGGTAACTCTGTTTCATCTTTAGCAAAGCAAAGCCAAAAAGAAGAAGAAAGGTGTGGTTCCTGGAGGGGGCTTAAAGGCTACCATGAAGGACGACCTGGCAGACTATGGTGGTTATGATGGAGGATACGTCCAGGACTATGAAGACTTCATGTGACAGAGTTTACCTTCTCCTGGTGTCGTCTTTCTGTTGCCCACAGTCCCTTCAACATGTAGCACAACTTCCTTTCCTTTCAGTTCTGCCAAATGCTACAATCAGAAGCGCAGTATCTTTCGTGCTGGTTATTTAACCCCTTGACTCTTAGGTGCTAATGTGCGAACGAGGGAACTTGGATCTTGCTGCCAAGGGGTTAAAATCGGGAACCTCAGTTGCTACTAAATCATAGTTTTAAAAAAAAAAATCGTAATGATGTCATTGTTGCTGTCTGATTCCATAGCAGCAGTCACTAAATTGGAAACAAGGTTGCAACGTGACAAAAAATTGTGTAGTATTTACCAGCACCATCCAGTAATACAGCCTTAACCATACCTCCTTGAACTACTTCATAACTTGTCAAGAAAAGCAGTTTGCAGCAAGGGCATGTGGTGTGCACCTAGTATTAAAATTGCTTTGTCTTAAAATTGAGCGTGAGGATATTAAAAAAATACGTTGTGAAGAAGACTGCGAAGATACTGTGGCTGAAAAGCCAATAGTTTGATACTTAAAAATTAAATGACCAAAACCCTCCAACTTTGAAACTGAAGAAGGCAAACCTCTCCATTATTGCATTTCAAGTTGAGTCTCTTGAGTGCAAAGACTGTCTAGTTTATATTTATCAGACTATTTCTGCTGACGGAGTGCTTCGGGTGGGGGAGGGAACTTCACCTGTTTAACTGCCTGGTCTAAATGTCCGAGCAACAAATTGCCTTTGTTCTCTAGGCTGCAGTGGAACAACTTTAACAGGGTTTTGGCATTTCCTTTCCTTTATAAAACATGCTTAGCAAACTGCACCAGTTAACTACAGTTTGGTAAATTGTTATGTTAACAATTATGACATCTGCAATGTTTTATAAAGCAACTAACTTAATAAAATCACTATTGTGAGGACTTAATTTTTTGTGTTACCTCCCAAGAGGTATTTTTGCAGAGTATAGAACAGCTCTTGGGACTAGAGCTTGTCTCTGTATACTGATTACAGCTTACTAAACGCTTGACCAGTAGTTAGTTACAGCCTTGAAACAAGAATATTTACCAGGTTCCTAACAGTGTCACCAGCAACAAAGGTGTAGGGATGCCCTCCTCGTATTTAAACAAAATAATAGCTTTCCCAAATAAGAAGTCCTAATTAAATAGAACTATTTATTTGGAGTAATTGAGCCTGTAACTCTGGGGGATGGGTTGTTTTATGGTATAGATCTAATAGGATATAATGTACAGTTAGTCATCCTCAAATGGTTGGGGTGGCCTTCCTTATTATGTATCTTAAGCTATTTAACCAAATTTGTGATCACAGTCTTTTTTTTTTTTTTTTTAAAAAAAAACCACCATAGCATGGAAAGGGGTGGGGGACGACTTCTCCTACATAGGAAATAGGGTTCTTAATCAATCAGTATTAAGTGGAAGACAAGGCCATCATCTAAATGATTTTAGGAATGAACAGAAAGTAACCGCACAGCAATAATTACAGCAAATACTGTTTTAAGGAAGATACGGGCTAGGAGTACCTTAGTAATGATGACATCCTGAAATGTAAAATCTGTTTTATTAGAGATGAGTGTCTAACAAATGGAAGTGTATCATCACCAGTTCCTTAACTCTGTAAATAATAGTAAATCCTTTGAAACTGGAATCTGCAGGCACAGGTACTCTTTAATCAGTATTATCATCTAAATAGAAGCCGTCCTGAGAAAGATAAAGCCTTTGGTGTTAATACCCATATAAAATGGCATAGATGAACAATCACTTTTAAGTAGGAACTTCACTGTGAAAAGTCTTGTCTCGTTCTTTGCCTGGCACCCACAAGAGACTGATGTGGTACAGTCCTGGCATTTTACAGCCCAGAGTGAAAAAATTACGCGGCTCACGGACATCTATCAGTCAGTACCTCATTTCACTATGAGAAAAAAAGGCACCTTGTGCCATCTCGTCAAATGATGTCATTTGAATCCATCTAACTTGCCAGCATGTCCTTTAGACAGCAACCTGTCTGAGGGTCCTTCAGAAGCACATTTACAACATCATAAAATTTATGTTCATATGCCAGCTTGTAATACAGGTAGATGTCTTCACAGTATGTGAGTGACTGCTTCAGGTTCTTCTCCATCGCATCGGTAGGCTGATGTTGTTTACATCTAGACAAAGAAGCACGAACGTGTGCAGGTTAAGATCTTGACCTTGGTGAATGAGCGCTGTTACTCTGACACCACCAACAGAGGAGAGGATGCTGGAATCTGGGAAATGCTGTCAGACTAGTACTGGGGGGTGTTCCACAAACGCTGGATTAATTTCATTAAAAAGGAAAATCTTAATGCTCAGCTCAATTAGAATGAATTCAGAACTCCAAAGCGCACCTACCTCAGACAAGCTGAGTAGCTAGTGTCCCATTTTAAGTACAAGTGCCATAAGGTAACTGTTAACTCATTGTTTGCATAGATCTTTTATCTCTTCCTCCAGGGTATTGACATACTTTTCCCATTTCAAGGGGTAGGTAAAGGTATGGAGTACTTAGCCATAAAACTCTTATTCATGCCTTACCTCAAAGCAGAGGCAAGGAGAAATGCTTGTAGTCAACTCTTAATACTTACTTGTTTGAGATCTCTTCAAATATGCTGGATCTTAATAACCTTTGCTGCTTAAATTCTTCCAAGTAATTAAAATCTCCTTTAAGAATCACTCGTTGGTATAGAATTTCAACCCAGTCTGGAACAAAGTCATAGGCCTGGGCCACAATAGAAGCCTTAAGAGAATGGGAGGGAAGAAGGGCACCATCAGAGCCTATCTGATGTAAAATTGAGGGCGGATTGTTCTAGAAAACAGCTTCCTACTGTACACTCATATGGTGACTGATCATTACCGATGGCATTAAGAGGCTCTGGGTGTCGGGTTGATGAGAAGTCTGGTGTTAGTCTGGTACTTCTCCCTTAAGCCCCCAGACACCTTCCTTGAGTGTTTTTAGTCTTCAACAAGGGCTTAATAAACTGCTGAGAAAGAATATCTGTATTCTTCCCCACCAGCTCACTCCACAAGTAACAGTGCACAGCTGACTCCCTGACAGCTGTCCCTCCTTGTTGAAGGCCCCTAACTCCCTGTGCTAACCTGGGTGCACCATTCCTTACCCCTAGGGCTAGGAGATGCCCACAGGACCACTAGGGATACTACCCCTCACCTTAGCTGTCTCAGGGTCCAAAGGTTTCTGCCTCTTGCTGGCCTAACAGCATGGGAAAAATGACTCAGTACTTCTCACTCTTCTCCAACATCTTTGTCCAAACGGTATGTTAATGAGAAGACAATCTGGTGTATTAACTAAGTCAGAAGAAATGGAGACCTTGGGCAAATCACTCAATCTGAGCACTGTGATGCTGGCAGTGCTGGCTAGATTGTTCGTTCTTGCTCACCTGGTAGAACTGAGGTAGGGCCATGATACAGTCCATCAGCCTGTGGCGGCCCAGGTTGATGAGCATTGTGTTCTGGCCAGTGTTCAGAAAGTGGATTTGTAGTGTGATCAGCTTGGTGAGCCGGTGACAGCGCAGGGCCTGTCTCACGCAGAAGTCCTGAGGGACAAGGGTGGAGGGGGCGCAGGTAGAGAAGACTGTTGTCACCATCTCCCATGTTAATCCTCCAGCAACTGTACTCACCCTTTCTGTCCCTGGCTGGCCCGTGACTCCCCTCTCCCCACCCTGGGAAGCAGAGCCCTGGGACAAAACTACTGCAGATACCAAGCCCCCAGGCTGGTCCGGGATAAACCTGTGCTCGCCTTGGAGTAACTCTCTGCGGCGTCCAGCATCAGCGTCAGAGCCTTCAGCAGCAGCTGCTTCAGCCTGTGCCCATCCTTGAGGCTCTCCTCTGCGGGGGAGGAAAGGAGACCTGCTGAGCCCAGGGCTTCGAACCGGTTCTTCCCAGTTCAGTCATGGCTGAGGAAATGACACTCAACAGACTCGAATTTTTAAAATTTGGGTGAACCGGAACCATAGCTGGAATGGGAAGAAATACAGGTCAAGGCCCTGCTATAATCTCCATCTTAGAAAACAAGGTCGGCGTTCATGTTGCATAGCAACCAAGTCGCGTGCCCTTCAGATTCTGGACCAACAGGGGGACCTGACTCATGGAAGCTGACGGCTGTGTGTTGCTCTCCAGTCCTGCCCGTGATCCAGTCTCATGCATCAGGCTCCTGAAAGGGCTCACTACGCCTCTTCCAAGTCTCCCATTCTAGGCCTTCGACCTGTAATTTTTCCTGTTCTGGGTATGGTTCCAGATCACCCAAATTTAAAAAATTTGGGTCTGTTCCAGTTTTACTTTGTCAGCCATGACTGAACCAGTTCAAACCAGTTCAAAGCCATGGTTGAGTCTGAATCCCAAGGCAGGCTGTTCTCACCCCACTCACAGTGATGGTGGGCTGGAACAGAAACATCCCAGCTCGTGTATGGGGCAGGCATGTCGCACTCAGGTAAAGGCCATTGGGCCAGAAATGCACATTCGGGGACTCAGCCTCACTCTGGAGTAGGCTTTGATGCCCCCTCTGGTTCCTCCTTTCTCTGAAACATCAAGGAAGGCTCACACTGGACATCAACATATGCAAGGGTTGCTGATGGATTTATATCGTGGACGTACAGGCTACGATCCCAAGAGGTGCATGATGCCTTCCAAGACCCTCTATGTCCTATCTGCCCAGCTGGGGCCCTGCTGTGTAACTAATACCCATCGGGCTTCCAACAGCAAGCCTCATGGGCTCTTTTAGTTCTGGGAACCTCGGAACCTTCCCTGGCTAGCGTCACTGCCCCGTGCCCTCTGCTCACCCCAGGGCTGAGACTCAATCAGTTTCAGCTGGATGCAGGCAGCTGCCTCGTGGTTCTCACCAATCTCCCGGCACATGCTGAAGCACAGGGCAATCATGTTGTGCTTCTCACTGTCCCCAGGGTGGCAGCGTTTGATGTAGTTGAGCAGGGCTGTCTTCAGGGTGCCACTCTACCCAGGACGAAAGGGACACCACGGCCTCAGCCAGGCAGGACTGGCTGAGTCCTTTAGTTGTTAAAGTTCCTTAAAAACGCTCAAAAAAAAAGGAAAAGATGAGCAAGAATGAAAAAATACAAAAGCTCTGTATGCTGTCCTGAGTATAGGGGAACAGACGTGCCCCCCTGCTGGTGGGAGTGTGACCAGTAAGACATTCCAGAATGGAGAAGCCTTAAAAAGGTGCACACGTGCTGACCTAACAATTCCACTTCTAGGAATCCATCCCGAAAGAAACGGGCAGAGAAAAGTGCTAAGAGAAATGTAACAAAGATAATCATAAGCAAATAGGAACAATTCAAATGTCACAATGGACAAAATAAGGGAATAACATGTAGCTGTTAAAATTGATGTAGAAGACCATCTAGTGATCTGGGAAATATTCACGATATACTTACTGTTAAGTGAAAAAAAAAGTAGGCTATTTCATATCTGCAGAGCATATGTTTTGTTAAAATATGTAAATATGTATATATGTTTGTGGATACACATATAAACTTAGCAAGGGCTGTCTCCAGATGGTGGACAGACACAGAGGGCTTTTTTCTGTGTTGTTCCATTTTCCAAGTATCATATATTGAATATACATTACTTTTGTAATTAGAAAAATTTATTAAAAGATATTTCAATGCAAAAACACAACTGCCTGAAAGACAACAATTTTAAAAATCCCTGGGGCAGGGCTCTTGAAGGTGCAACCAAGACTGGCGCTTGCTTTCCTCCCAATGACTGGCTCAGCACTGAAGAGAGTTTTCCCACTTTCTCTCTCAGTCGTGCTTGGCTGGGCCCAGGTTCCCCGGAGCCAAAAGTGCACCTTGGTTTTTAACTCTTCAGAGGTGAAATGTGCAGAAGCAACGGATCAGCCAAATGAATGACTTGCAAAAGCTTCTATGAGTGACACGTTGGGTCACGCAGCATGCTGAGGACAGACAGGGCCCAAAGGCCTCCTGGTGGTCATCACAAGTCACTGCCCAGCTTCCCCGCACAGGCCTGTGCATTCAATTCCGCACCCGGCTCTCAGCCACACGTTTCACGGTCCCATGAAACCTCCCCCTGCTACCTGGCTAGGCCAGGACAGCTCAGACACGGCCTCAGCTGGCCAGTCCACTCCCGCCTGGCTCTCAGGAGGGGTTCCGTCCCTGCTGGAGCGGCCACTCACACAGTAGGGGCCGAGGTGGCCCTGAGCCACTGGGTCAACAGTCTATGTCCTGAGGAAGTCCCCATTTCCCTCCCTCCATATCCCAGGGAACCCCAATCAGGCTTTTTTCCGAGGTAAGCTGAGCCTCTGGGATGTCAGTGTACACGTCACCCCGGAGCTCAGAATGCTTTCCACTTACCGGGTCCAACTTCTTCCGCATCAGCACTTCAAAGTAGTGCTTTTTATGCAGCAGATCAAATATGTACGTCATCTCATTGTACCTTCCAATGCCAGTGAGGAGCCGCACCTGAGGGCAGTCGGGGAGGGCAGCATTAGCCTCGCCTGGAATCCCTCCCTTGTCAGTGGGACTTCTTTTAGACGCCAAGCCCCAGGGGTGAAGGGCCAGGCGCCATGCTCAGCTCCCTCCCTCTGGAGGCTTCCGAAACGCCAATCATGAAGACACTGCTGGCTGTCCCCTCGTCTTCTGTCTCTGATGTGACACCAAGTGCCCAAGAGCCATCCTCCCGGGCAGACACCCTTCCTCGCCCCATCGCTCCTCGTTTGCGGACAATGGCCTGCGGAGCCTCAGGTCAGTTTCACGCACAGAGAGTTCAGGGAGGTCCTTGAGGCTGCTTGAGCTGTCGGCTCGTTTCAGCTCAGAGCTAAGACGGGGTCTGAACCTTGTTTGGGGGTGATGCAGCTGTCTTAGCCCTCCTGAAAAGCTAACTTCCATGGCAAGGGGTGTGCCAGCTGTGAGCATGGTAGGAATCCTTTGGTGCAATTTCTGATTCTGACAGAGACTCCTGGAGCAGAAGGTTGGGTAGGCGCGACGGCCCAGCCAACTACGGAGCCGGTAACAGTATCCAGATTGACAGAAGGCCCCGAGGCCACGTCAGCTCTGAGCAGATCCCCAGCCTATCTGCACCTCTAAAGGTTTCCTCAGGATGCAGGGTGGGGACTGAGGGGGGCTACTTACCACCAGTCCGTACTCCTCGTTGGGGGCCAAGTGGTTGTCTGTGAGCAGCCGGGCGGCCTGCAGGACTCGGATGATGCCCTCCATGTGGCATGTCAGAGTGAAGCAGTGATGGGCCAGGATCAGCAGCTCTGTGGCTGGGTGGGGGGCAGGCACTGTTAAGACAGGGTTGTGGGCCCTTGGCCCCCCACCGTCTGAAGGAGCCTGTGTGGAGAGGTCCCTGATTTCAGCAGCTTTAGCTCTGAGACAGCCCGTGACGATGTCTCAATTATCCTCTCAGGGACAGCGCAGGGATTAACTGTCCTCAAGGCCAGTCCCGCACTGACTGGATCTCCAGAAGGCCTAACACGTGAGAACAAGCGACCCTTGCTTTCTAAAGATGGAGGAACTTCTCTCTGCAGACAAACTGGTGCAGCTTCTGCCAACGCGAATCGAAGGCTATTCTCTGCTTGTCACTCAGTGGAGGATCTTAAGGGCTAATCTGCCTCTGGTGGCTCTGCAATTACGCTGGCTTTCTGGACGGGTAAGAGGTTGGACTACATACAGATTAAAACTACACACTCAGTCCCTGGAAGTACAATTAAAAGGCAAACTGGGAAAAATATTTCCAGCGTTGAGGATAGAAAAAGTGTTCCCAGCCTTAACATAGGCTGCGCCCCCTGGGCCTTTGCACATGTGGGTGCCTCCCCCCTCCCACCGACTACTGAGCACCCTGAACTACAGATCCTTCAGGTCCCAGCCTGGGTGTTCCTCCAGAAGCCCTTCTCGACCCCACAGGTCTGGCTCTTAGTGCGTGTGTGAGTGCCCGGGCTGCTGCTGAACTTGTTCACCAGACCCGGCATTTCGGGCACCTAGCACACAGCTGGCGCTCCCTATGTGCTGCTGAACTGGACTGAAAAGAGATACAGGTGGCTCCTTAAGAAATGAAATTCTTTAGCTGTTTAGAATCTCCATTGATTTGTTCATTAAACTACAGTAAAATGCCTTTTTTGAGCCTATAAAGTGTGCAAATGGAATGGGTTCCAGGAAATGATACTCAAATACACTGTTTAAGTGAGAGTGAAAAGAATTTTTTTTTTTTTCTGGAGTGAAATCTGGCTATCTATATATATAGACAGAGAGACACAGACAGAGCCATCTCAGAAGCCTTAAAAATAGGCATTCCCATGAAGCAAGAATCTAAGCTAGGGAAGGAATCCTGATGTGGACAGACGGGTCTCTAAGGATGTTCATCACAGTGTTTGAAACAGCAGAAAACTGGAAGCAATCTGAAGGTCCCACAATAGGGTATAAAAAATAAATTATACAGAATACTGAAAATAAAAATACTGTGTAATCATAAACATTAGAAACTGTGTTACAGAAAAATATCTGAAATCATGGAAAAAAGCTAATGATACAGTAGATTCATAAAATAAAAAAACTGTAAACAATATGCACAGTGGAATGCCATTTTCCAAAAATAAAAACCTACATACTTGCAGAGAAACAGACGAGAGACGCAGGCACTACTGAGTGACTAACGGAGACGTGGAACGTCAGCAGGTGTGAAATCACACAGGTGGCTTCAAACCCCAGCTCTGCCCCTTAACAGCTACACGTTCATCAGCCTCTCTAAGCTTCAGTTTTCTCACTTCTAAAGGGGACAGCAATACCCACTTTGCAAGGTTATGTAAGAGTAAGATAAGATAAATATGTCAAATATTAAAAGGTTACCTTTCTGTGTGAATGAAATTTTGGCAAACCTTTCCATATTTTCTAAATTTTCTTCAATGAACTTAGGGTTTTCTACCAAGAACTTAAACTCTGCTGGAGGGGTGGGGAGCAGAGGAAGAACGACGACCCAAAGGGAGTTTGGAAAGACTGAGCCTGGGAGACTTCCTGGAGAGCGGTTTGGGCCCAAAACGTGAAAAAAAGGCCAGCAACTTACTGCAAGCCAGCTCCCCGTGGGGGACGGAGGAAATCTTGTCCAACAGCTTCCTGCCTACTAACGTGAGGTCCGGGCACAGCATGGTCAGCTGCAGAAATGTCTGGCTTTCCTCTGCAGGGCTGAATGTCGGCTTATGTCCTGAACAGAAAGATGAGGAGGAAGGTGCAGGTTTTGCCATGAGAGAGCTGGGAGAAAGGGGAGAGAGCGAGCCCCCCGCCAGGGGCCCCTCTGCCCAGGCCCGGGCACCCAGAGCTCCCCAGGCAGGGCTCCTCTCACTCGGAGAGGCACAGCTAGCGCGTCCCCAGGAAACACTAAAACCACGACAGACAGAGGCAGTGTGTCCTCCTACCAGCGTGACCTGGAAACGAGAGGTCACCAGGCAGAATGCACAACATCCCAACCCGTAACGCTGGGAACCTGAAACGCCGCCTGGGAGGCTGGGGGGCCAGGTCACCTGCTCCCTCTGATGGGGTCAGCAGCTCCCGCGTCACCTCTTCGGCCACTAGTTCAGCCACAGCGTCTGGCTTGAGGCCCTGGGTGCTGATGAAGGCCTGGGCTCGCTTGCACCGGTCGGGCTGCTGAGAAGCCAAGATTGCCCGGAGCACAGCCTCGCCACCCCAGGCGGCGACATCTGTGTAGGGACAGCCCAGATCCTGAGAGGAAGGCAGAGCCGGTCACACCTACTGTCAGGAGCCAGGGAAAAGCTAGCACAAGACAGCCCTTCCTGAAATCTGGTGTGGACAGATGTCCTTGCTCCTGAGCAGGAACCTCAAAAGAACAAACACTGTGTTCTAGCCCTTTCTATCACTCCACCAAAGAGCCAAATTCAAGCAAAAGAAGGGCTCGTCTTCAGAAAGCATTAGGTGACACTCTTTCTGAACACAGCTTTTCTGACATTATCAAACAGAAGAAATATGAATAAAAGGCAAAAGCCCCCTCCATATCGTGGCCAAAGCTGCAGCAAAGCTCTCAATTTCCAAAGAAGTCTCAGCCTTTCCCAAGGCAGAGAGGGCTTCAGCGCTCAGCTCTATTTCTCCCATGCTCCCCTCCTTCCACTTGGTCTACTGTTTTTCTCCCCCAGCAAGCATGAAGCCACAGACAACCCCTGGCTGCCCTGACTCCCAACTTTCCAGTAATCACACCCATTTTACTGTAAACTTTGCTCTGGGGGCTCCCATCTGAAAAGCTCTGAGCAATTATGGCACCTCAGACCAGGCCCTCGTGGTCAAATCACTGTTTACAGGCGAAGCAGCAGGGGCTTCCAGGAGCCAAAGGCCTCGCCCCAGCTTCTGGATGGCAAGCTGCAGCCAGCACCCCACCTCCCTGGCACGGGACCCAGCAACCTCTCACTATTCCTGAGGTAGGCTGATGGGTGCCAGCCTCCGGGTGAGCACTCTACTCTCCGCTCACGCTTACAACCTGAAGTGCTGGTGTGGCAATGCTGGAAATCCACCTCCCACTTCCCTCCGTTCTCAAAGAGCTTCGTGGGGAGCCCCACCCCTGGCACACACCTGGGCAAGTTCACACAGACAGAGGACCTGCCGGCAGGAGTTCTTCCCATGGAGGCATTTGCTTGTCAGCGTTTTCAGGTCAGCCACCACTTGGTCACTGGGAGGTGCCGTCTTCAAGGACTGAGTATCCAAACTTGAAGCTGGAAGCAAACACAGGCTGAGGGAGGGCAGGCCAAGGCACCCCAGCCCTGTCTGACCTCCAGCTGAACGCCTGCAGCACCCTGCACAGTACCCCTGTGGGTCTGGGACACTTCAGACGGGGCCACGTACCCCTGTGGGTCTGGGACACTTCAGATGGGGCCACGTACCCCTGTGTGTCTGGGACACTTTGGACGGGGCCACGGTACCCCTGTGGGCCTGGGACACTTTGGACGGGGCCACGGTACCCCTGTGGGCCTGGGACACTTTGGACAGGGTCACGTACCCCTGTGGGTCTGGGACACTTCAGACGGAGTCACGGTACCCCTGTGGGTCTGGGACACTTCGGACGGGGCCACGGTACCCCTGTGGGCCTGGGACACTTTGGACGGGGCCACGGTACCCCTGTGGGTCTGGGACACTTCAGACAGGGTCACGCACCCCTGCGGGTTTGGGACACTTCGGACGGGGGCCCCACTTTCACTGCTCTCATTGCCTTCTCCCGGGAAACCCCAGGCACATCAAAGATCAAACACGCCACCTAAAAAGCGCTCCAGAGATCAGCACCAAGATGTCCGCCAGACCCTCCTCCACACACACCCCCTCCCAATTTCCCTTCATTTGAAATCAATCTCCAGGTCTAGCTGACTGTACCCTTTAATCACGGCCTCCAGGTCAGCACTCCAGGTCAGCATTTCTCATCCGTACCTGAAGGCTGTAGCTGTCCCCTGCTGCAGCCTCCCCTCTCCCCATCAACCTTCCACACACTCAGCAGGATCTTTCTCAAATGCAAATCAAAAAAAACCTGGGTAGATGCCTTAAAGGTGTAGTAAAATTAAAACCCATTCCTTATTAAGAAAATTTAAATGTACATCAATAAAGAATTTTTTACAAAATTGTGGTCTATCCATACAGTACAATACTCTGCGCCATTAAAAAGAACAAGGTCAATCCGCGTGTGCTGACAGGGCAATGTTGCAGAACAGTATGACATAATGCAGCCAGACCTTCAACGGCTTTTAGTGGGGTTCTAGCTAAGATGGAGTATGCTCTCCCACTGAACTCCACTATAAATCCTGGACAGAAGGTACTGGGCAGCTAGATGAGGACTCCAGAAGTAAAAAGTAGCAGGTGGTCTGGGGAAGAAGACCAGAACTGAAGTATCGTCCAACTTCCCAGGCACTAATATCCCCGACCCACATGCAGCAGCCGGAAACCCAGGAGGGGCTAAAGTGCAGCGTGAGCCCCAGGAGAAGCCCTCAGTACTGGCTCAAGGGGTAGGAAGGGCCTCTCCATGCCCTGCTCTCTCGCCCAGCTCCCAGGCAATCCACGGGTGGTGGTGGCAGAGGCTACCGCACAGCTGGCAAGAGCTCTGAGGGAGGAACCTTATTTTCTGATTGGAGGAGGTCTCGTCTCAAGCAGGCAGAGTGAACCCGTTACTCTTCGCTCTGTTCTCTGATCACTTGGCAAAGGACGGTCACTGGATCCCATGGAGGGCAACAGGGAGTGGTACAACATTCTTAAGTGCTAAAAGAAGGAACTCATTTTCTATATCCAACAAAAATACCCGTTAGGAACAAAGATGAAATAGCAACATTCTCAGATGACAAAAAACTAAGAGAATGTGTTGTCAGCAGACAGCCTAAAAGAATTACTAAAGGAAATCCTTCAGACAAAAGGAAAGAGACCAGAAAGAAACTTGGAACATCAGGAATGAGGGAAGAGCAACAAAAACTAAATATCTGAGTAAATACAACAGACTATTTTCTTCTTTTCTCAGTTGAAAGCAAAACTTACAGCACTGTTTGATGGGGTTTTCAATGCATATAATGTAATAGAGTAAGACAACTAGAACATAAAGACAAAAAATCAAACCCATTGTCATCGAGTTGATTCCGACTCATAGTGACCCTAACAAGACACAGTAGAACTGCCCCACAGGGTTTGCAAGGAGCGGCTGATGGATTTGAACTGCTGATCTTTTAGTTAGCAGCTATAGCTCTTAACCACTGAGCCACCAGGGCTTAGAACATAAAGCAGGGAAGGTAAAGTGACCTTATGCTGATAAGGTTTCTATATTCCACTTAAGGTGGTAAAATATTGAGTCTTGGTTTGTGAAAAGTCAAGAATGTACACTGTAATCCGTACAGCAACCAACAAAAACACTCGCAAAGAGAGACAGCTGACAGATACTACAATAAGTAAATTAAAATGAAATACTAAAAAAAGTTTAAATAATCCAAAAGAAGGTATGAAAAAAAGGTTTCCTCAAAAACCACAACCAAAATTTACTCAAGATAAAATAGAAAATCTGAATACTCCTATAATTATTAAGGAAATTGAAGTTAAAAACCTTCCAAACAAGACATCCCCTGACTCAGAAGGTTTAATTGGTAAATTCTACTAAACATTTAAAGAAGAAACAATATTTTCCAGAAAATAGAGGAGGAAATGCTTCTCAATTCCTTTTATGAAACCAGCATTACTGATACCAATACCAAAGATAGTACCAAAAAAAGTATAGATCGATATCCCTCATGAACATAGACGTAAAAATCCTCAACGAATTTTAGCAAATTGAATCCAGAAATACCAATGTTTTAAAAAGTACCACAATCAAGCACGGTTTATCCTGGGACTGCAAGTCTGGTTCAAGATTTAAAAATTAATCAGTATAATCCATCAAATAGTCTAAAGAGGAAAAACCTCATGATCAGATCAATTGATGCAGAAAAGACATCTGACAAAATTCAAAACACATTCATGATAAAAATTCTCAGCAAACTAGGAATGAAAGGGAACTTCCTAAAATGATAAACCACATCTCTAAAAAACATACCACTAATATCCTACTTAACGGTGGAAGGCTGAATGCTTTCCCCCTAAGATCAGTAACAAGGCAAGGATGGCCACTTGCATCCAACATCATACTGGAAGTCCCAGCAAGTGCAATAAAGCAAGAAAAAGAAATAAAAGGCATACAGATTGCAAAGACAGACATAAAAAGTTGTTACTCAGAGACAATATGATTATCTACCTAGAAAATCCTAAGGAATCTACAAGAAAACTTCTAGAATATTTGAGTTTAGCAAAGTCACATAAAAATTAATCATAATTCTATATACTACCAATTTGCAACTGGAAACAATTATTTGTACAGAATAAATTTCAGTGTACTAGGTACAAGTCAGATGGAGTCCCTTTAACCTTAATATAAAGCTAGTTAAAAGGCAGGTGTTTCTACTTCATCAACAAGTTAATTACCTAGTTTCCAGATTACCTGGAAAAGAGAGGCTGTGCCCTTAAGTTAGTGTAACTATTATGCAGAAGGGACCCTTCCTTCCTGGAGGGGGCCAAAAGCGCCATTTAAGACTCAGACTGGTTAGATCTCCTTCACTTACTGCTTCGGACTTTCCTCGCAGCAACAGCAGACTCCTCTTCCTCCTCAAGCAGCTCAGCCCTCTGTAGGAGAGCCTGGACCTCTGCATGCAGGTCATCCGCACCAGCTTCCCCTGAGGCCAGCGCCCCGCAGTGCAACACCAAGACAACATCTCGGTTGTAGAAACCAAAGTACCGGCACACTCTACTTGCTTCACGCACGCAGCCGTCATCCAACAGGCGCCCAATCAGAAAGTTCAGTGACTCCTCCTCCTTCCCATCCAGTCTATTCTCACATGAATCTTTGGATGGAAGACCATTCAGTTCTAGGTATTTTGATGTGTTCAGAGCAGCCAGCTTGGAGAAGGAAAACTCGCTGGCTAAGCTATCAAAGGAAAGTTGGCCACTAGTTGAGATCTGTCGAGAAAATCTGGGGTCTGTGTCCTCCTGGTTTCCTCTGAGGGTGTGCTGGGTGATGCGGCAGAGCCAGATCTGCTTCTCCAGCTCCTCAAGCTCCTCCAGGGGCACCAGGTCATTCTGGGCAAGCCAGTGCCCGGCCAGGGTGAGCAGCAGATGGCGTTCCTCGATGCCGCTCTGCTGCTCCTCAGCTGGGGATGCACAGGCCTCAAGGGCTTGGGATGAGAAAAAGGATGAAGCTGCTTTGCTTGAAATGGAATTTTTCTTAAAATTCTCATGGCATTTTTTCCAGAAGTCAATTCTTGCTTGTTTTAGAGACCACTGTTCAATATGTTTTAGGGTCTGCATTTCCTGAGTTATCTGTTAAATTTACACAAAGCGAATTTTAGCCTTTCCTAGAGGGAGTGTATCATAAATGTCAATGCTCCCTGCCTACACCTCGTTAAAACCAAATCATCAGGAAACATGGGACTGGGCTATAACAGGTCCCCTGGACCACTGCCCATCGTCTGGCCCAATGGGTATCTAAACTATTTGGAAATCAGTCTTTGAGACAAGTAATTCCTCATTCTGGTACCATGAGTATCAGGAAAGTTTTCCATGCCCTTAACTTAAACCCCTTGTGCTACAGATAATCCTGGATATTTTATCTGGGAAGTTAAGATATGACAAACAACTCTGTGGGGTTCAAGAGGAAGCTACCTTATATTTAATTCTATTCACAAGAAAATAGCTATAGCATATCCCGTAGGGTAACTATATTTAAAGCATACAATCTTCCGTAATGGATATCCTAGACCCATCTGTTTCTGAAAGTAATGTGTGTGTCAAAAGCAAAAAAGCCTCATCTCCTGTAGGTTGTATATACATCATTCGATTCTGTTTAATGCTGGTTTAAAAGTTAAGATTTTAAAAAACGTAAAAGACTACAGATACCTCTTCAATAACCAAGTTGTCCACAGGTAACTCAGCTAATTCTGCTACTCTCCTGGATAAAGCAAACTGCCCCTCTGTCTGCAGTCTTTCCAAAATGGATCTACATTCCTGCTGAAAATTCTCAGTGCTGTAGCTGGTAATAATGGCATGACTAATGGCTATGGATGTATCCTTCAAAATCTGGCTGAGGGCACACAGCTTCTTCACATCTGGACCTGTACCAAGAGAAGAGAATAGAAACATTTAACCAATAAAATATTGCTATGGCATCTCAAGAGTCGCGGAACATCGGGGGCAACATGTATGTTTAGCATAGTAATATGGTTAAAGAAAAAACAAAAACCTATCTTTCTATTCTGGCTGACTAGCAGAGGAAGCCAAAAGGCAGCTCCTGGATGGTGCAACTGCCAAAAATAGCCCTGCAAAATCCTTACAAGTAAGTCTGGCTGAACTTGCCTGCCCTACAGTAAGAAGTGTTAAGAGACTCGCACGGGAACTCAAGCTACCTATCTGCTTTACATACAGGGCAGAAGCTGGTGGCCTACTATGTACACAGTAGCAGATCAGTCAACCACAGGAAGATTGTGGCCATACACTCAGGCTGGTCCCATCTCTTTCTGGATTTTCTCCTACCTTGACTAAATTTGTTATTCGTTCATTCAATGCAGGCATCACGGAGATGAAAACACAGAATGTGTAGGACAACTGAAATCGAGGCCCCCAGGAGCCCAGGCGCTAACGTGGCATGCCGTGGTAAGAATGGAGCATCACTCACTCCTCCTGACAACTGTCTGTGTAACCCAGGGAGACCAGCTGAGTGCTTCCTGAGGTCCTGGGAGATTCTTCTATTCAGTAACATCAGGAATTCTCTGCCAACAACTTGTGTGGCTAGGTTTGCTGCTACTTCCAAATAGAGTAGAGCCTAGAACATAGTCAGGGAGGGGCATGTTCAGCATTCCAGAGGAGCCTTCGTCCCACTGCCACCTGCTGGGCTGTGCTCTGCTGAGGGAGCGTCCAGGACACTGAAACACCCTGCACAGTAACCACGAGTAGGGATGTGCTGGGTTTCTTTGCAGGCATCACATAAAATACTGGTTTTTTATTTTATTATTATTATCTTTTATTGTGCTTTAGGTGAAAGCTTACATAGCAAATTAGTTTCTCATTACACAGTTAATACACAAACCGTTCTGAGACAGTGGCTGCCAACCCTGCGATGTGTCAACACTCTCTCCCTTCTCCACCCCAGTTTCTCTGTTTCCATTCGTCCAGTTTTCCTGTCCCTTCCTGTCTTCTCGTCTTTGCTTTTGGTGTGCCCATTGGTTTCGTATACATGACTGAACTACGAAGCACGTTCTTCACACGTGTTATTGTTGGCCCTACAGACCTGTCTACTGTTTGGCTGAAGGGTAAACTTCAGGAGTGACTTCAGTACTGAGTTAAAAGGGTGTCTGGTGGCCATACTCTCGGGGTTTCTCCAGTCTCTGTCAGAACAGCAAGGCTGGTCATTTTTTTTTTTTTTTTTTTTTGTGAATTTGAATTTTGTTCTACTTTTTTCTCCAGCTCTGTCCGGGACCTTCTATTGTGATCCCTGTCAGAGCAGCTGGTGGTCCTAGCTGGGCACCATCTAGGTGCTCTGGGCTCAGTCTGATGGAGGTTGTATAAAATATAGTTTTTTAAAAAACATATCTGTTGTCTGCACATACATGTTATATACATACAACATAAATACTCTACAAAAATAGAAATAATTATATGAATAAATACATTACAGTAATGGTTAATAACACAGTTAATCCTTATAATTATTCAGAGATAGAGTAACACTAGCAAAAAAAAAAATCCATTTCTGAAAAAAATTAAAATCACTACAGATCAATGAAAGTACCTATATGTTATAAAGCTCTATTGTTTGGTAATACACAGTAACTGACAAGTACCATGTTGAATTTACTGCATTTTGGAAACAGCCCTCTTTCCTTTTAGTCACCAGACCCACAGTCAACAACACTAGCAGGAGGCCCTGCATTCCGTCAGTGTTCTGGGCAAATCTGGGCTCCCCCAATGAACGTCTGTGAGCCTAAATGTGATAAAATAGCCCTAGTAGTGAAAATGTCAGAAACGTGTAGAAGAAGGATATATTATTCAACAAAAATTTGAAATTGCAAACAAGTGGAAAACAGGGTAAGGCAATACTGGCTGATTCCATCACAGAAGCTTAGAGACTGCCAGCGTGTGGAGGCGTCTGCCGAGAACGAGCGCGGTCTGTCTCTGAAGCTTTCAAAATGAATGACATGTTCTTGAAGCAAGGTTTGTAACTCTGGGCAACAATGACAAGGTGGGGTTATTTGCCAGAGAAAAGAATGATAGTGACAGGGTGAGGGAGAGGCTAGTCAGGAAAACATGTGGCTATTTGACAACTGCTTAGAATGAGAAGACAGTTGTTGGATTATTTGAGTTACGTCTGTTGTACCAGGTTTTAAATGCTTTAACCATGATTCTGAAGTTACCTGTACCTCTTCTTCACACTCAGTCATAGACTGTAAATATAATGTTATATATCATATGCATTGTAATTTCTTGACTGGTCTTCCAAAATATTTTCATGATTAAGAAAGCTAACTTCTTAACAGCTACTTAACTCTAAGCATGGTCTTACCATCAGAGAAGAGATGCTCTATTCCAACAAAGAGCTGTAAAAGCTTCCCCAGCTCATACTGGGTCTGACACTGCTGCAGCATAAGCTTCACAAGAAAACACACCTGCTCCTTCAGCCACGAGGCAGGGGTGAGCGGGTGGGCCCTTGTGGCTGCCGTTTCAAGCTACGAATAAAGAAGAGAGGGTCAGGGAGGAAAAGCAAATCAAAAGCTTCAAATCTGGAAACATCAAAGGAAACCAAGAGACCATCAAAAGCCTTCTCCTATCACAACGGGGTGGGCTTATTTAGGTCCCTATTTCTCTCCTTTCCAAAGGGCAGGAAATGGGAGTGGCCAAACCCAGCGCTCCTCGGCAGCTCTGCACTCGGTCTCTGTGGGAAGTGCTGGCGCTGACAGCTGCATGTGGAAGTGGAAGCTGGGAAAGAGTCCTAAAGCCAAATGCTGACTGTGACGTGACTGTGACATCAACAGCTATAAACACCTCCAGTTAGGGAATGCCAAACTACTAGTCCTGTGACTCACTGTGAAATTAACCAGGCGTGCTTCACTTAGCATCTTCTTCAGAGAAGGATCTAGGCCTGGCCCTTGAATCTAGAAGATTTTAAATTCAATATGAAAACCTCTTAGAGGGACTTGCGTAACATGGCTGAGCCAGTTCTACTAGCCTGCTTGTCGTGTATGCTCTCATTAGCAAAGGATCTCAGTCAAGAAGCCCTGATGTATATCATTTCAATCAAAGGCTGAAAATATTAATAGGAAGATCATCCATGACCCCAAACAGCAGGCCACATTTTTAAGAGAAGGTATGGCAAAAATGTCTAAGACCTTGAAGGAAAAGGCAGATCTTAGTGTGTCTGCTCACATGATGCTTCTTCTATGACTTTATCCCTAGTCTGTATCTGGCCCCTTGCTTCACATGACTTTGGGAAGACTAATTTTTGGCTCCAGTCACCATAGCTCTGTTCACTCTAGACTTCATACAATATAATCACAAAAAATACTGGGCCTTCTGGTAGTAAAGAAACTTCTCTCTGGTTTCAAAAAATATGTACTGTGTGTTAGCATGCGCCAAAAATTTATCAGGTACTAGCTCTGTGCCTAGCACAGAGCCCTGGTGGCACAGTGGTCAAGAGCTATGGCTGCTAACAAAAGGTCGGCAGTTCGAATCCACCAGCTACTCCTTGGAAACTCTATTGTGTGGGGCAGTTCTACTCTGTCCTATAGGGCTGCTGTGAGTCAGAACCGACTCGATGGCCACAGGTTTGGTTTTTTGGTTTTGGTGCCTAGCCCCGGATTAGGCTCACGTTTTGCTCCCTATTCCTAGATACGCCTGATCACGCCATAAAAGTTACTCTCAAGATTAGAAATCTAATGTGCAAAGAGGCTTTCTGGCTGTGATGGAGATTTCAGACGCCAACATTCCCTTTAAATGGAACACCCAAGACTGCCAAGATCTGAAATTAAGCAATGGCTTATAAAATCCTTTGTCACCTTACTGCTATCTGCCTAGCCCACCCATGATTTCCCTCTCTACTCTCTTTCCTATGTCCTTGGAGCCCTGGTGGCACCGTGGTTAAGAGCTTGGCTACTAACCAAAAGGTTAGTAGTTGGAATCCACCAGCTGCTCCCTGGAAACCCTATGGGGCAGTTCTACTCTGTCCTATAGGGTCCCTATGAGTCAGAATCAACTTGATGGCAACGAGTGTGGGTTTGTTTGGTTTGTTTTTTAACGTGGCCCTCCCCGTCCGTCTCCCCCTTCTCTCAAGATTCAGCAGGGCTCTCCTTGTTGTTGCTAGTCGCCGCAGTGTTGGTTCCGACTCCTGGCGACCTCAGGCATGACGGAATGAAACACTGCCTGGTCCTCTGCCATCTCCATGATCTTTGACATGTCTGAGCCCACTGTTGAGGCTACTGTGTCACTCCATCTCATTGCAGGTTTCCCTCATTTCTGCTAACCCTCTACTTTGCCAAACAATGTCCTCCTCTAGAGACTGGGGGTTCTCCTTACTTGCTACCTTAAAGGAAGATCGCTTTGCTTTTGGAGCCCTCCCTCACTGCAGAGTATTTAAGGGTTACTCTGGAGCCCTGGTGGTGTAGTGGTTAAGAGACCGGCTGCTAACCCAAAGGTCAGCAGTTCAAATCCACGAGCCACTTCTTGGAAACTCTGTGGGGCAGTTCTGCTCTGTCCTATAGGGTCACTACGAGTCAGAATCAACTCGACGGTATTGGGTCTGGTTTTTTTGTTTCAGTTTATGGGAAAAATAACAACACTGGAAGTTAGCTCATTATTCACTACTTATTCTCGCTCAGACATCATTACTGAATGTGCTCTATAACCATCCTGATCAGACTCTGATTTTTAGAAGAGCCAAAAGTTATTCAATGTTTCGATTTTTTATTCTTTACCCTCGTAGGAGTTCTTATTAAAATTAGCCTGGATTAGGGCATTAGTTCTTTGTCTTAATCTCATTACTTATTTACCTAACCCTGTGGCTCTAAGAAGAGGGACAACAGCAGGCAGACTGAAACTGATCAGAGGAAGCAAACGGGCTGAGGGTAAGCGTGGGGGCGGCTGTAGTGCTCCTCCACAAGGGCTGGAGCAGCAGCAGTCAGGCGAGAAAGAGAACGTAGTGGGAAGGCCCCAGTCGCCGAGAGTAATTAATAGGCGGAGGAATCAGAGTGCCTATTTCTGTGATTCAGGGGCCTTGGGCACATCTGAATAACTGACTTGGTATTTTCAGATAACATAACTTTGAAATCTTCATTACAGTTAAGACCAATGTGATTGAGAGCAAATGCCTATACGGAGGTTCTGCTGTGATATATTTGTTAGTATGTATTTTTGTCTTATTTATCACAGATCCTTTCTGGGGTAGAGAAGTAAAAATGCTGGAAACCCCAAACAGGACTAAGGCATACTCCCTCTCCTTTCTTAGAACTTCCTCTTTTCTTCACAGGGTTAATAAGCTTCTCACGATAAACAGGCCCTAAACAATCATCCGAATAGGTAAACTGACACGAGGCTCAGCATCACTGGGAGAAGGACCACCAGGAGTGGTGTGTCACAGGGAATAAAGCAGTATTAACATCCTTCACATGCAAAGCTGCTGGTGCCACCCAGGGTTGGTAAAACGTGGCCGAGCGCCACCACTCCCTCTCTAGCATGAATGCCCCTCCCACTGAGCTGGGCTGCAGCTCCGGGATACCGATCATGGTTGGCACACTAGAAGAAACGTCTCTGTTAGCCCTCAACGGATCAGCTGCCGCAGGTGAGGCCACTGCCGCTCGGGCCTCTCGGTCGCCAAAGCAGGAAAACGAGGCTCGGTTTGCATTAGCACATAACCCCTACCCGCCTGCTGCCACACCCTGCCTACCAGCAGAGAACAGGCCACTCCAACCAATGTCAGATCAGAGAGAAAGAGCACTGCAATTCCAACTTACAGTTTCAAGGCTCTTCTGGAACTCCAGGAGTTTGGCTTTGGCGTCCTCATAGTTCTTGAAGAACATACACAGTTCATACATCTCCAGCATCAACAATAATGGGGAATCCTTTGAGGAAGGGTTTAAATGAAATTACAAAGTCCTGAACATAACCAGTAATATTTTTCAGTGAATAATGCCAACAAAACAGAAGGTTAAAGTAAAAAACAAATGTTATTAATAACAGCTTCACATCAGTTACTAAATGGTTTATGTTGAAGAGAGATACTCAGGCTGGGAACACCTGCTCATCAATTGTTTTCTATTCTATACTTGATCCACCCCACAGGAGCAGGAGGCGTTCCACTAGGTGGTGCTGTGGTACTGTATCGCTAACGTCTCTCCTGGGTCCTCAGTTCCGCTGACTCAAGCGCAGACTGCTTGTCTGTGACATCGATCCATATATTTCCACCACTTCTGTGGGAGTTGTTTCGTCAGAGGAAGCCACATTGTGCAATGGTTAAGAATCGGAGTTTTAGAATTAGAAAGTATGGACCTGAACTATCAGTACACCATTTACTAAAGCCCTCTGGGACCTTGGGCCTCTGAAGTTCTGGGAGTCTTGGTTTCATTGTCTCTAAAGTGCAGGTAACAGTACTTCATAATATTCTCATACGATATTATCTTTGTATGGGATTATTGTGAGAATTGATAAAATAATGCATATGAGGCACTTTGCTAAATAAATAGTAACTCTATTATCATTATCATCATCTGTTGTTGGCTGAAAAAATCTAGGGCTAAAAACATCCCAGGGGTGAGAATAAGCAAAACCCAGCTGGGGATATAGAGAAGTCACCCTTTTAAACTCTGGAAAGCGATGAACTGACCACCACTACCTTAAAGAACAGCTGGAAGCCTCTGATGAGAGTTCTGCTCTTCTGCCTTCTTAGTAACACTCTACAGGCGGCCGAGAGGTCCTCCAGGCCCCAGGCGTGGTCCTCTATCGGGTCCTGAATGTGCCCCACTGCTTCAGCAGCAACACTGTCCTCTACAGATGTGATGATCCAAACACAGAGACAAGGAACAGCGCTGGCATCCTGCCGTTGGAGAAGAAATTTTTAGAATAACAACTGGACCTCAACTACCTAACAGAAGATGTTTCCAGCAATGCTATGAGTACAGATGGGTATCTCCTGTTAGAACAAGGCACCTCATTAAATAAAAATGACTGAAAAGCCTTCAAACATAAACTCTAATGCGCAACTAAGTGACTACTATAAAATGTCCTGCAGTGTGTGGCAGGTCAGCGGGCAAAGCAGAAGACGGAGAGGTCTGTGTGGAAGCAGGAAGCACCGAGTGTAATAGAACAGGATTGCCCTCCACCGACCTGCGATTAAGGGACTATCTGGAACATCCCTCTCTCCTGCTAAAGGAGGAGCTAAAGAAGCAGCGGTGGTCAGTCCACCGAAGCATCCTTCTCTATGCCTGCCAACCAAAAACCAAGGCACTGACCACCTGATTCCCCGAAATGTCAAGGCACAAGGAAGTGCTCTAAATGGGCCAGAGCTTAAGCTGGAGAAACACAAAAAGGTGGAGTAACCCTGGAAACACATGGCAAAGCCTCACTCATCATCACCCCGTTTTCCTGATTATCAGCTGTCCCGACCCCTCCTCACTTCTTCTAAAGCTCCCTGGCTTCTCAGGATTCCCACCTGGACACAGGAGGCCAGGACACTCAGGATGGGTGCCTGCTGTTTCACTGCTTCAGCCAGGAGCCAGCACCAGGAGTTGGGCTCCTCTGAGCACTGGAGCAAAACTGCAAAGAAATCAGTCATCTGTTCTTCATTTTTCTGGAGCTGCTGGGGGGATCTGCTGCAGATCAGGTCACTATTCATTCTGCAGTTGAACGTGGAGGGCAAGTTCTCAAAAGCCAGCTTTAAGTGGTCTTGAAGGACTGGGCTGAAATAGTGCAGAAGGGATTTCACCTAGAAAACACATTAGATGATCAACACAGACGCCCAACTTTCCACTCCTGTTGGAGTTGAAAATGTTAGAGAAAAGGATAGGCAGAATTCTTCTTTCTCACCCTCAACTGTGTCAGAGGGGACCATAGAATCTTACAAAGCTATCTGCTGCTTCTCAGTGAACTTCCATGTTGACTCTAGAGGTCCTTATGACTACTGACTGGGTCCCTTGTCTGAAGCCAACCCAGTGAAACCTCAGTAAACAATAACAGCATGATATCAAACAAAAGCCTCTCTCTACACAACAGAAAGAACATTATTAAACTTCTGAGCAATGTTCCAGTTTCCTCCTTCTAAAAAACTGCCGACAACCAGTGGCTTACCTCCTCTGGACGATAGTCGTGGAGCTGGCTGTGAATGATGAACTGCAGCCAATCATTTGCTTTGGCGCATTCAATGAGGTAAGATGTGCTCATCTTCATATTGTGGAGCCTGCAAAACTGGACCACTAGGGCCCATTGGCTGCTGGAATCACTGGATAGCCTGTCATCAGAATCGAGGGTGGAGTGACAGAGAGAAAGACTTATTAAAATACAGCTTTAGTTTGAAACTGGAAAATTAGTAGAAATTTAACCACAGTATAGCCTCTGAAAAGCCTTTCAACAAGTACCAAATACCAGACTACTTTTTACAAAACTAGACTCTTACCTCTGTAACACACAATAGCTTTCCTAGTATACTGGCACAATAAATTTCTGCACCAAATCATCAACCAAGTATCTATTCACAAAACCAAACTTAAAAACAGTACTGACAAATTCCGTGGGGCAGATACGAACTGTCAGAAGTGGACCCTTTGCCATCAGACAGGAGGTGGACAGAGTGCTAAGCCTGTGCTGCCCGGGAGTGGTGAGGAAGGGCACTGGTTACAACTGTCAGAGCTGTGCTTCCTGCCCCGCAGAGACGGTGACTCTCAGACACAGGGCTGCGTGATCCCAGGAGGGCAGTTTTTTTCCTACACTGAAAAGGAGTTTTTTCTTTTAACTATAAGAAGTACACATACTTGTAAAATAATTCAGAAAATACAGAAAGTTATTAAAAAAAAGGGAAAATCACCCATATCTTTACAAAATATCTTCTAGGTATTTAATGTGTGTATGTGTGCACGTGTGTGTATACATGTCTACTTATATAATTATTCTTATAATTTGTTCTCATTTTACATAAAAATGGGTACTTATATAACCTTTCTTCACTTACTTAAATGGGGTTTTTACACTGGCAGGAATGACCCCAGCTAAGCACATATGGGAGAAAGGCCATCAAACTAACATGTAGACTCTATACTAGCTCTTTTCAACCTGTTCCAGGAGAGAACAAAGCCCTGATACCATAAGGCATGTACGCTATGGATTAACTTCTCACTTATGTGTCTAGGATAATACACGCACCATCCTTAGGAGAACTGAGAAAATAATCACTCAAGACATTCTCGAAGTGCTTAACTCTCCTGCACCATAAACTAATCAGAGCCCAGACAGGGGCCTGGGCCTCCTCACTTAGAGGAGGTACATGTTACTGCTGAGAACAGGGTCAGTGATAGGAGGGACAGCAGAAAGGTGTCTTCCCAGAGTCTGGGTGCCTGAGTCAGCCTCGTGGGGTAGTAGCACCAGCAGGAGACAGGCATGAATGTCTAAGGAGAGGCACTTCTGTGGGCAGACATCACCCCAACTGACAATGATTAGGAAGAAAAAATTAAAGACATTCCTTAGAGTCAAATTTTGTGAGACACACCCCAAATCCTCTGGAAAGATTTCAGTATGTAGCATTTAAAAGACTTCTCTGCCTCGCAGGGCATGGAGAATACAAAGCTGCTCTCCCTCTCTAGGTAACTCCATCTCTAAAGAGGAAATCACTATTTCTATCTTCTTCTGACAGATGCCAAGCTGCAGTTAAAACCATTACCCATTTACTGAGTATCTGCTATACTCAAGGTCTGAGGAGGACTGGTGAAAACACCCGAGGTGTTGGAGAAAGACCAGGCAGACAGGGTTGGCCCAACAAAGCTTGTTGGAGAAGAGCCTGGGACTGCACCTCACAAACCTCTTTATTTCCTGCTGCTGGATGCTGTTCCGTGTGCCTTCTTCCAAGAGAACAAGCAACTCTTCTACGGCTGCTTTTTCGCCATTAGCCAGTTTAGATAGTTTCTCAGCTATAAGAAACAAGAACAACAAAAAAATGGTCAAGACAAAAGGTCAGAACTGTGCATTTCTGTTTGAATAGCGTGGCCCACAGCCATTTCAGAACCCAGTTAAAGGGCCCAATGGGAAGATAACTGTTTCTTCCCCAACTGGCCTCACAATTCAGTGTCTTAGACCTATTCACCTGCCTCCTCTACACAAAACAGACCCCATAAAGAAGAGGTGCTTACCCAGAGACTCTCTGACGAAGCTGTGCTGAGCATCTTCATTTCTACACTTGTAGCTCAAAATCACATTGGCCACTTTCATATCAACTCGGAGCTTGAGGCTGTCAAGGCCAAGCAATTCTAGGAAACAAACGCAGGCAGCTCCTACTGAAGGCATGTGGAAGGAGGAGAGTCCTAAGACATAGGCTTCATCGCCTACTCGCTGAATCCTGGAAAAAGGAGTCAACACCACATCAGCAGTCAAGATGGTTCACTACAAAAAAATCGAGTAAACTTAAAAATCGGCAGTATGAGAGGAAATGAGGGACAAAAAAGGTAAAAGACACAAAGAAAACTATCTGCAAATTGGCACCATGACGAAGTAGGAGTTATCCCAGGAATGCAAGGGTAGTTCAACATAAGAAAATCAATTAGTGTAATACATTAATAGAATGAAGGAAAAGAACCACATGATCATCTCAACTGATGCAGAAAAGCCCTGTGACAAGATCCAACATCCTTTCTGGGATAATCGCACGCGCGCGCACACACGCACACGCACACACACACCCCAACTCACCATCCAAATATAATCACTGTTAACCATAGTATAGGTTTTCAGTACTTTCCAGCATTTTACTCAGATATCTGTAAAATATGCCTTTTTAGAGTACAAATTACTTTTTAAATACTCACAGCTGCTTGGGAGTTTTACTCTTGATTAATTCCTGGACTAGAAAAGTACCAAATGCAAATGATGGTCGTCCATGATGTAAATAATAAGCAAAATTCAGACGTTCCACTATAGCGTATTTATTAACCAGATCAGGTCTACAGAAATGTGGGAGCTCACTTGATGCATCTGGGAGGGGGGAGTGAAGCAGCATTAATATTCTGCATCTCACCACGATTAATTTCAGATTTCCATGTGGAAAAACTGACTTTCCAATAATAAAGAAAAACTGGTTGCTATAAACATTTTGTACTACCGCATAACACTTTCAATCTACCAAAACCAAACCCAAATCCATTGCTGTTAAGGCAGTTCCGATTCATAGTGATCCTATAGGACAGAGCAGAACTGCCCCATAGGGTTTCCAACGCTGTAATCTTTACAGAAGCAGGCTGCCGTATCTTTCTCCTGTGGAGCCACTGGTGGGTTTGAACCACCGACCTTTTGGTTAGCAGCAAAGTGCTTTAACCACTGCACTACCAGGGCTCCTTAAACCTACCAAAATGTAACAATTTTATTTTACTTCAATGTATAAAAGTAGTCATCATTTTATACAAAAATGTACACCTGAGGTGCTGCATAAAAACTCACAAACTGTGCTTTGTTCCTCCACTGAATTTACTAAAAATTTTCGATGTTTAATTCTCTATTTGATGATCCTTTAAGTTTGCAATGGCAATAACCAATAACTCTTTAGTTACAACTCTCTGCTAAATGGCTAATGATCTACAAAAGCAGCTTTTCAATTCATTCATGCAACTCATTATGAAATGAAATTCCTTCTTTAACATACTATATGAGTCCTCTATTCACCAAGGCCAACTCACTGTACCAACAGATAATAGTCATGATTACTGAGAAATCGTTTACTCCATATTAATACTCTCCCACAATCCTTTGATCGTTAGTAGTATTTTCTGATGTTGTATTCATAGCAATGATGGCAGACCAGCAGGTAGCTCAGTTTAAAGTTTCTTTGTGCCCAAGAGAATATCAGAAAATACATATTTTCTTTTTAGAGAAATTCGAAGCCAGAGCTATTTGGATGTGAGTAATTAGTATGAAATAACCACTCCTGTCAAACCCTAATCTTTAACTGCCTCTTAACCAGTTACTACCCTATGGAAAAAAATGTGATAAAATAATTTATCTGAACTGTTAAAGAACCAGTTCTGGAAAATAAAGCATGTGCTCTTATTTTCAAAGTTTAAAGCTTATTTTTGAAGTACAGCTTTATGTTCCCCTGGAATTCCAACGCCTTTTCACATTGTGACTTGGTTTCTATAAAAAGAACTAAAGACCTTAGAGTCTGTCAGTTTACAAAGTTATTACTTAAAAGTACATCCCACTGACATTAAGAAACTGTCACATGCCTTCTTTGTGAGACCAGAGTGTCCTCAGTAACACAATTACATATAAAACGATTTATTCATTCATTATCTGCTGACAAGTTGCAGTATATACAGCACTGCCAGATGCTGGACCAGCAAATCTGAGGTTTCTATTAAAATAAGACCTTGATTTTTCAGCAGGCTGGGGCCTGGTGTGGAGCACGTGTATAAGAGAAAATTCCACCCGAAGGGAAATCCCACTCTGGCCTGCCACAGAGGCAAAGTCACCATGCAGTATTCTAACATCCCCTTTCAGGAGTAAAATCGTGTGAAAAAACAGGTAACCATTCTAATTAAATACAACCCTCTAATTTTCTAAATCTGTATTATGTTTTCATGATAATAATTGCATTTATTTTTCTTAAATATATTTTAAATGTCTAAAAACCAGGCAAGGGACGTGCCCTCAACTTCCGTTTCCCGTGCTACCTTGTGGAGTGCTTGGTCTCCCACAGGTGGCCAAGGTGCTAAAGGTGGAGTTAGGGGTCACTGGGACAGGACAGGGCATTCTGCCTGCCCGAGTGACTTCACTGAGATTAAAAGCAGATTTGCCTTTGAAATTGTAGTAAACACTACTTTATTCATCAGTCACTCACCAAATGTTTACTCAACAGCTATTACCGGCCTGGCACTACACTGGGCTCTGGGCACTAGATAAATTCAATATTCCAAAACTTGAACTTACAAAACTGATACATTAGGAAATTCATTTTTATGTATGTCAATAAATATATACGGGGTACATACTATGTGCGAAGTGCTAATTTGAAGCCTCAAATTTATAGTAATATAGGCAGAGGCACCACTGGTAAAATGCTATCAAAGGCTAACTCTAAAAGAGAAACAGAAAAAGCAGAATTTAAGAACGGCTCAAAATCAGAGAGATTTCTGTGGTCTACAGAGGACAGCATGGTGTCTGTATCTAGTGCTTACCGAGTGCTGGGGACCGCGAGGGTGCTGATCACACGCTGGGGACCATGAGGGCGCTGACCGCGCGCTGGGGACCGTGAGGGTGCTCATGGCGTGCTAGGACGGTGAGGGCGCTGACCGCGCGCTGGAGACCGTGAGGGTGCTCATGGCGTGCTAGGACGGTGAGGGCGCTGACCACGCGCTGGGGACCATGAGGGCGCTTACTGTGTGCTAGGAACCGTGAGGGTGTTCACAGCATGCTAGGACTGTGAGGGTGCTGACTGTGTGCTAGGAACCGTGAGGGTGTTCACGGCATGCTAGGACTGTGAGGGTGCTGACTGTGTGCTAGGAACTGTGTGAGCTTTCAAATGCCTCCTCCTTCCATTGTCACAGCAACGTGAGAGGTGAACACTTATTAACCTTATTTTACAGGGAATAAATCACCTGCCCAAGGTCAGACTACCCCTGCATGTACGCCCAGGATCTCTCTAATGCCGTCACCTATGCTCTTAATCTTTATCATACTGTACCACAAACAAAAAGCATTTGGAGAAGGGAGAAACAGAAGCAGACAGGTGCACATTACATTTCCCAGCAAGGACAGTACTAGTGACCTACTACAATGATTAAGTCACAGTATGTTTTCGATTCTGTCTTCTGGAAAATGTTTTCCATTAGAACGTACCTTTATTTTTAAAATGGAAAGCAACGAGAAAACTGGATTGGCTTTATATAAATTAACTTCTACTGTCAACACTGCTGAAAGCTTCCAAAACAAGAAGTACCTCTAATAACTTACCTCCTATAGCGAGTGTGTTGGCAGACTGCCAGCCAAACAATCTGCTGGGATCAAAGGGCAATAATGACTGAAAAAGGGGGAAAGTAAAACCAGAGTTAAAAGTTAATTGATTCTAAATAAGTAAACAAAGTTTTATGAAAGGACTTAGGAGGTAGTCTGTTTCCATTATCTTTCCAGATAAAAATTCTCTGCACACAGCTAAAAACAAAGAAGAATGTATGAGGCACCCTTCTGTATTCACTTGGCTCTACTCCTTTTAAAGGCCCTCCTTACTTCAATCTGTGCCTGCAGAGTGCACTCTTTTTTGGTAGAAGCAACATCAATTATAATATAAAATGGGTTTTACAAATGGTTTTGAAATCAAAAGGCTCTTAACTTCTGTCACATTCTTAAAGGGGTCTTTGTCCTGAAAAAGTTAAGAAGTGTGGATTTTAACAAATGGCCCTGACGCACCGAGAAGACATGGCTAGAAGCTCTAAGTGCTACAGTGGAGTGGCCTTTGGAAGCAGCAGACAGGCCTGCTGGTCAACCATCTGTCTGCTCTCAGCTCCATTTCCTACCCTTCCCTGCTCTGCTCTGGACTGCCGGGAACTGCATTTCCCAAGCTCCCTCACCCGTTCATTGGCTGTCTGGTAGGTTTAGCCACGAGAGACACAGGTGGGAGATTAAAGCGGGGAGGGGAGGAGAAGCCAGGTTAATTTTTCTCCTCTTTCTCTGTTTTCTGGGGCATCTCCTCTAAGGTCCTAGCCCCATCCCGTATATTCCCAGCTCCCAGTGGCAGTCATGTTGAGAGCTCAGCTCCCAGAAGATGGCTCCAGCTTCTGGGATGCTAACACCTTCTTGCAGTGTTCTCCCAGCCTTAGAGGTGTTGATTACTTTCTTCTTTGCTAATCTCTGGGTTGTCTCATCATTGCATGTTTGGTTTCTCCACTCTTCTATCACTCTCTGGAAGCAATTTCCTAGAATTAAATTCCCTCCATCTGAAAGATCGAACGTGGTTTCTGTTTTCCTGGCTAACCCCTGACTGATACACAGGCCACCGAAATTCTGTACCTGGATAAGGTGGTAGAGTGTGATATCGTGTGGCAGGATATTAGGAGCAGTGTTCTGTGGAAACAGAGCAGCTTTCAGCTTGGGGTAAGGCATTAATGCCATCTTCAGGAGTTGGGGATCCACTTTCTTCAAACAGTTCTCATTTTCTTCATTCTGAACCACCTAAGTAAAAAGACAACAGAGTTCAGAGCAATGCTTTTCCTTTCTCAAAATAACTCCTCTTTTCACAAGAACCCTGAGAAACAAGATTAACTTGGAGATAGTTATGAGGTAGTGAAAACAGCACTGGACAAGTCAGAAGCCAACTGTAGTAGTCTTGGTTCTAAAACAAACCAGTGTGTTACTTTGTACTAGATAATTAATATCAGGCCTCAGTTTCCTCACCTACAAAACTAGAAAGTTGAGCTATTACTATTTATTATTAGGTGCTGTCAAGTCAGTTCCGACTCATAGCAACCCTACGTACAACAGAACGAAACACTGACCGGTCCTGTGCCATCCTCACAATCGTTGCTACGCTTCAATCCATTGTTTCAGCCACTGTGGCAATCTATCTCGTTGAGGAAATCAGTGAGCTAGCTCAGTGGTTTTCAAACTGTATGTGGAGAACCTGTTTGAAAAGGTTCTGCTACTATAATGTTTGAAAACTATTAGACTAGATGACTCCTAGGTCCTTCCAAGTTATTCTATGATTCCAACTTTTGACAAGTGATTAAAAGCAGAGAAGTTAAATAGCTCAACCGTATAATTTAAGGTAAACTGCAACGATCTGAAAGAAGTGGTATAAAATTAAGCTAGCATCAGCAGAAATTTTGAAGATAAGATGTCTAGTAGCATTCTTAAGTTTCCTCTAACCAGGCATACTACACTTTCAAAAAGCAAGGTGGGAAAATTTCCTCTGGGTCCCTCAAAAGAGTTTACAAGGGCAGCTAAAGATAATAATTTCCTTTTTACCTCAGAGGACAAGCAGTAGAGAATAATTCCCAAACCACAGATCTAGAGCAGACTTCCTCTCAGAAGCAGTCAGGTACTGATTCTATTCTAAAACAACTAAAGGGAAAAGGCTCTCTCTAACCTATTAGCTCCCTCATAACTTAGAGGGTATGAAACAACTTTTCAAATTCACCCATTTTTTATGTTTTTTAAGCTACTGAAATACCTGAAAGTAGTTACATTCTACTATCAACTGAGATCTAGACAGTCCATAGATATTTCTGCTAAATTTAAAGTCAGTCCTATTTAACCCCGATAGGTGAAGTGAAGTCCATACCTGGCTGACACCCCCAGGGGCATACATTGTAGTAGCCAGGGCCAGGAGGGTATGTCCTTCCAGCAGCATACTGCTGATGCTGGCCTGATTGCTAGGAATCAGTATCTGAGCATTTGCAAGGCTAGCCTGGAAGATCATTTTGGGATCTGGAAAATAAAAGAGTATGTTTTTCTCCTTAAGAGGGATAAATATTAAATTAAGAATTATATAATTCTAAGAAAGAAAATTTTTAACTCTATCCAAAGAAATATTTAACTCTAAGTTTAAAAACAATGGGAAAGCATCACAAAGGGAAGGATGAAAGATTTGTCTACATAAAAATAAAAACTTAAAGAAAACTGAAAGTAACAACAAACTAGGGAACGTAATTACAAGTGCAACCTGAAGACTGATGTCTTCAGCATCAAAAACACTGACTTCAACGGATAAATGGACAAAAGCAACAAGTAGCCAATTTACAAAAGAGAAAATAAAGACAAAAATGTTTGACACATAAAAATATATAATTCACTAGCAATAAAAAAAGGAGCCCTGGTGGTGCAGTGGTTGAGTGCTCGGCTGCTAAAAGAAAGGTCAGCAGTTCGAACTCATCAGCGGCTCTGCAGGACTAAAGACCTGGTAATCCGCTACCATAAAGACTCTTGTGTTATTAGGTGCTGTCCAGTCAGTTCTGACTCATAGCGACTCTACGGACAACAGAATGAAACACCGCCTGGTCCTGCGCCATCCTCACAATCACTGCTATGTCTGAGCCCACTGTTGCACTCACTGTGTCAATCCATTTCGTTGAGGGTCTTCCTTCTCTTGCTGACCCTCTATACTTTACCAAGCATGATATCCTTCTCCAGGGACCGATCCCTCCTGATAACATGTCCAAAGTACGTGAAACAAAGTCTCGCCATCTTCACTTCTAAGGAGCATTCTGGCTGTACTTCCAAGACAGATTTGTTCGTTCTTCTGGCAGTCCATGGTATATTCAATATTCCCCACCAACACCATTATTCAAATGCATCAATTCTTATTTGGTCTTCCTTATTCATTGTCTAGCTTTCACATGCATATGAGGCGAATGAAAATACTACAGATTGTTGGGCGCACCTTAGTCTTCAAAGTGACATCTTTGCTTTTTAACACTTCAAAGACATCTTTTGCAGCAGATTTGCCCAATTTAATACGTTGTTTGATTTCTTGACTGCTGCTTCCATAGGCACTGACTGTGGATCCAAATAAAATGAAATCCTTGACCTCAATATTTTCTCTGTTTATCACGATGTTGCTTACTGGTCCAGTGGTGAGAATTTTTGTTCTTTATGTTGAGGTGTAATCCATACTGAAGGCTGTGGTCTTTGATCTGCATCAGTAAGTGCTTCAAGTCCTCTTCACTTTCAACAAAGTGGTATCTTCTGCATATCACAGGTTGTTAATGAGTGTTCCTCCAATCCTGATGTTTCATTCTTTTTCATATGGTCCAGCTTCTCAGATTATTTGCTAGCATACAGATTGAATAAATATGGTGAAAGGATACAACACTGACGCACAGCTTTCCTGATTTTAAACCATGCAGCATTCCCTTGTTCTGTCTGAACCACTGCCTCACTGTACAGGGTCCTCATGAGCACAATTAAGTGTTCTGGAATTCCCATTCTTCGCAATAATTTATGATCCACACAGTCGAATGCCTTTGTGTAATCAATAAAACACAGGTAAACATCTTCCTGGTATTCTCTGGTTTTAGCCAACATCCATCTGACATCAGCAATGATACCCCCC